TGGGGCAGAAGAAAAATGTGACGTTTGTAATGCTCACTTTTGGTATTTTCTAGATGCAGTCATGCAGAATGCTGCTTGCAAGACAAACAGTGTTATCAATGCAGCTGAGAGAGATCAAAGAGGCTCTTGGAGGAGTTACAGATGGGGATTTCTGAAGGGAAACTCCTATGTTCTCTACTGCTCAACAGATTGAATAGTTTACAGAATAGATAGTGTGTAATATGCTTCAATATTGAAGTATGTATTGCTTTGATTTGTATTGGTGAGATAGTGGTTTAAAAGCCTATGTGTATTCTTTGCTTGGCTTGTGGGCATAGTGATCCTGATCTCATTCATTGCTGTGTCCTGCACACTGGGATAATACTCCCCCACTGCCTGCTCTGACACTTGAAAGAGGAGGGGTTTCCTTTCTCCTGCATGAGTACGAGTATGGATTACTGTGCCTGGATATTATTGCTTTGTCTGCAGAAGCCTCTCTGATTCTTCAGGAAGTGCAGGCTTCCCTGCTACAAATCCCACTGTGTCATGTTGCAGACTTCTTCCATACCTCACATAGAGCACATTCTTTGTATTTATTTCTACTTGTTTTTCATATTCCTTCTTGACTATGTTCTTGTGTAAAAAGAACAGGATGGTTGGAAGAAAAAAAAGCTATTTTTCTGTGGGGATTTTCAAATAACCAAAGTATTAAGTACCTCAGTCTTCCATAAATGTTAAAACTTTTCATTTAAGTATCTAACAAGCCTCTGTAATTGGAGACCAAAGCTTGAGACACTCTACCTCTCTTACTTATTTGCACTTGTGTATAACATACATTCAAATGAGTGATTATCTTGATTATTGCTTATTACTGGTTTAAAGCAGGAATACCTGCTTGACAGTAACAGGGAGCTAGGTTTAAATATAAACCATTTTGAGAAACAGGAATAGCTTTGCTGAAGCTTCATGGAAAACTTCGACTGATTTGAAAACTTGTAAGTCACATTTTCAGTTTTAAATGTGGCTTAAGTGATCTGTGAGACTCTGTTATGTATTAAAGTTTGTTTGCTTCCTGCTTTTGTCGTGCTCTTTTTCACTTGATGATGGTCTGAGGTCATCGAGGAGGATGTCAGAGGAGGACGATAGCACTGAGAACGCAGATGTTTTCTAAGAATGTTTCATCAAAGCTTTTCACAAGATTTTGTAAAATTTTGAAGTCTTGTGCTATTGTGAAAGTTGTTTTTTCAAACATGCCATTCTGATGCTTTAGTGTGTTTTTATTTTCTTTTTCTAAGACACACTTGGAACTTTTAACCTTTTGGTTTTGAAGTAGTTACTACATGTTATTGACTTTATGGGAAAAGTCTTATCTTAGTAGTTGAAGCATTTCTATAATTTCTTTTTTGTGTCTAATGAAGAGGTGATACAGCTTTTGTTTGTAAGACCAAGAAACAACGGTTAGCTGGCAAGCTTTTATTATGTAAGTTGAAACCTTCTTTTGAATATGACATACTTCTGGAAACTACTGTAAGTTTTTCTGGTAGTGATAAAGCGTAATTAGGCTTTTATTTAAAGAAAATGTTCTTTATGATTTGAAAGGCTTGAAAAGAGCTGACTTTTTCTAGGTGCTTTAAGAGAGATATTTTGCCATCTAGATGATCAGAATTAAAAATTTGTGAAAATTGACTGTACTTTTGTAGCTGAAGACTGTTCTTTATCCTCACGTTCCTTACTACGGAGCTATGGACTTGCACAGAAGATACATAAAATATCTAGAATGTGATTAGATGAGAATGCTAAAATTGCTCATGATGCTTATAAACTCCCAAGAGGGACTTAAGAGCTTTCATATGCTTATGTAATTAGTCACTTCTGAAGTCCAGAAAACATTTTTGACTTCTTTATAGTAATTTATAAATGGCAGTTCATATCTTTAAAGAAAGATGGTTTTAAGACACTTGTAAATGTTTTGGGTTGATTTCTCCACTTAGAAGTGTATGTTCGGCAGTAACAGGTATTTGCATATCTCTTTGATTTAGGGCAAGTGATGTTTATTCTTTAGCCTCTTCGCTTGACACAAGGCCGTGTTTATAACTGCAGTGAAACCAACCTGACAGATTTGACAAAGAATGTCAGAGTGAGCGAGTTTGAGGACGAAATGTACCTCTCAAAAATAAACGCTTTAATGTAGAGTTAGAGTGAAGAGTGGAAATTTAAGTGTGGAATTTAAGGATCTTGTTGTCTTGATGTGGCTGGTGGCATTGGTCTCTGTGTGTACTTCTGTTGATCTGCTAAGCACATTGTTGTAAAATTAGATGTGTCTTGAACTGGAGATGCATAGATATGTAGAGATACACACATATAACATGCTTATACACACATAACATGCGTAGATTCATTTTTCTTGCAGGAACTGCAAAATCTTCCAACTCGGTTGGAAATACAGCATAGCTACACTATGGAAGCTTGTTAAATCTAAAAGAGGCAAGTAGTAGCAAAGTACTCCTCACCTGCCAAGAATTAAAGATGCCAGGCTGGAGGTACAGACCAAAAGCATGCCAGCTATCAAGGGAAGTGTGAAAGGAAGCTGGCATGGCTGAACATCAGGCAGAGATAGCTATTAGAAAACTGAAGTGATATCCAAATGAGGAAAATTGTAAGGATATGAAATCTGGCAAGCAGAATATAAGAGCGTAAGATAGAATAATTTTGAGGAATAAATTTTGAAAAGTCTTCAATAATAACTGCCTTTCAGCACATTAGTAGTAGGGAACATACCATAAACTGTAGGGGTATGAGATGATCACTTTATTTGATAAACTTGCAGAAGATAAGGCGATAGCAGAAAACCTTTGCTTTGCAACTCTTAAAATTTTGGAAAGGTTGCCCTGCCAAGGGCCTCTTATGGGTAACTCACCAAAAGAACTCTCTCAAATCAGCCTTTAAGAGTTCAGAGAACAAATGAACAACATGAGAGCCAGTTGCTAGAACCAGACAGTATTCATCAAATAATTATATAGAAAGTGAGGGATGAAGTAATTTTACTAACTGGTACGTAATGACTACTTTAGCTAGACATCTTTAGGTTGTTGGATATAAATGAAATGCAAGGTCTGTATTAAAAGGCCGTTTACTCAGAATGTTATCTGTACTGATCAGGAACTACAGTAATGTACAGAGTTCATGGACACAGGGTGATTATAATAGATGGTGGAAGGATCTATAGAGCTTTGTGAAAAGCTGTTGTCCCTTAAAGCTTTTGGGGCTCGCTGAAGGAGTTGGCAAGAACACATGTAAGGAAGTTCCAATTTGCCTATGGTAGGCAGGACTTCCAGAAGTAATTCAGTAGCCTTAGTCTTGTGCATGAGATTGGTAAGTCCATGCATGGATCATTAGTTAATAATTAGAGATAAGAAATGAAGTGGATAAGGTGCTTTTCAGAGTGGCTGAGTAGTGGCTGTTACAAAAATACTCAAGATATAAGAATTGAGACCCACTTTTGAATAACGGCATTTAAGTCCAGAGCACACGAGGAGGTGGCAGTTCAGCTGAAGTGAGGCACGTGGAACCTGTAACCCCTTGCAGGAAGGAACAGTAGTTTGGGATTACAATAGATAGCTCTGTGGGAACACTGATTGAGGCTCAGAAAGATGAACTCTATAAATTGTTAGGGTAGCAACAGAAAGTAAGACAAAATGGTTTAGGTCTGTGGTGCATTTGCATTTGACAGCTGTATTGGCTCAGGCTTGGGAGCATCCTGGGAAGAGCAGTGCTTACTTCTGTGTTTACCTGGGGGACTGAGATGTTTGTCTTGACGTAGATTATAACACTTTAAAAAAAAAATTAGTTTTGGAAAGGTCTTCTGAATGATAGAGTAGTTTCAGTATGTATCTCAGGTTCTTTGCTATTCAAAGAAACGTTATGTGTTTTGTGGGATTGAATGTAGCAGTGGGAAGGGCTGTGCTTAGCATGAAATCTACCCCTGCACCCAATGCCCAAGGATACATCTGTTTTAAAGCCCATGGAAAGCGAAGACAGGAGCAATGATATTAAACTGTAAACTTGGCAATGTCAGTTAGGGCACTTGAATCTTCGTGATGCCTCATGAGTGCTGGGATTTATGCGTAGAGCAAGAGTTGGCCATGTAGAGACCATCGGGGAACTGAAGTTTGAAGTCAGCATTCAGACCGGGAATGGAATTGTGCGAGCAGTCAGAATCCTCCTGTGGTTTGGTAGGCTGGAGTGGAGGACAGGACTCTGATCGCTAAGGAAAATATTTGAGGATGTGGATTTACAATAGTTTGATCAGATTCATGGTGCAGCAGTGGTGCAGCCACTTGGTTACCAGCTGCAGTCCATTTCTTCCCTCCTTTCACCGTGTGTTGTTAATAGAGCTTTTCTGCCCTCAGTGTTTAAGGAGCTGTACCAAAGACTAACCTTTCTGAAAATACAAAATAAAGCAAACAAATCAGGTGTTTTATCTTCTTGAACAGGCTGTTTCTGGGATAAATAGGTGCTGACATAAGAGAGCATGGGGGTGGGGGGAGGAGACAAAATATGATACTTTAGGATTACAGTGTCAGAAAGCGATTCTCTTAGAGACACGTTGCTGTTCCTCCAGTGTGTTTAGCCTGCACTTTTATGGGTGTGGGATACAGGAGCCTGCTCTGGGTAGCAAAATATATTGAGACCAGTCTCAAGATGTGTTTCTGGGTTTCAAAAAATGAAATTTTTATTAATCCTCCTTCAGGTAAACCTGACAGTCGCAGTGAATTTGAATGTTTAAGGATTCAAGTTTTACCTTTTATTTATTTATTTTCCCAGTAATATAGAGTACTTAATTTCCTGTTACAGAATATCCTTGTTTCTCCAAGTTTATGCTGTCCAAGTTAGTATATTCTACTGTCCTCAGAATTTTGAAAACCAGTGTGATATTTCAATGTCTTACATTTTCATATTTGTAGCTAATAAATAATACAAGGAGTCTGAATCTCCTAACTATTAGCCACCACTCAGATTTGTATTTTATTTCTTTGCAGGATCTGGAGTTTCATGGAGTAATGAGGTTCTACTTTCAAGATAAAGCAGCTGGAAATTTTGCAACAAAATGTATCCGTGTATCTAGTACTGCTACAACTCAAGATGTGATAGAAACTCTTGCAGAGAAGTTTCGGCCAGACATGCGAATGTTGTCGTCCCCTAAATACTCGCTTTATGAGGTGCATGTCAGTGGAGGTTAGTACTTATTCACTAAGTATTTTCTGCTTCCACACCACCTTCTTACTCACCCCCAGCCAAAATATCCTTAGGTTTGCCCTCAGAATCTGAATCACGTAAGGCTTGGGGCTTTTATTCCTAAATACATTGCTGCTAGCTGTTACACGGGAGAGTGATAATTCAAGGTGTGAGTACGTGTATCAGGCATGCAGCTTATGTGAGTTTTGATTATGATCTATTAAGTGCTGTGCTTGACATCTTGTTAATTCGTTGACATTTGTGAGAGAGTTGCTATTTTTAGGTCCAGTAGGGAAATACTAAATTTATAATGGGACAATAGGAGTGTTAAATTGGAGCACTTAAGGGTACATCCTCAGTTCTTTGATGCTGTGGGCCTTTGATAGGTAGCCTTTTAATGTATGTTCCTTTACTGCTAGACTGGGGAAAGTTGAACATCGTATGGTTTGAAGCCACTGTGTTTCTTAAACAGATCCTTTCACGTTACCTGTGAAGAACTTTCATATCTAAATAGCCTTTTGATGCTGCTCCCCACCCCAGTAGAAAGCTTTAGGTTGGAAGGTGGTAGTTGTGTGTGGTCATGGTAGAGATGGGAATTGGAGAAACTAGCTTTCTGTTGTACTTTTTTTGTACGTAGGAAGTGGTTTAACTACATTAAATTCTGCTTTTGAAAGACTGAAAGTAATTTAATTTGAGAGTGGAAATTTATTGGGGTATGTGTCAGTTTTCATGGTCTATGAATGATGACTTGGAATTAGGGAAAAGTGCATGTCTCATCACTAATTTAAGCAATGAATAGTATGTTTTTTCTGCTTTGGGTTTCTTTCAAAATCTTACTTGTAGTCAAAATGAAATGGTTTCCTTTACAGAGGAAGTTCCTGATGTTTAAAACGGAGCATGCGTGCTGTCCCCTGGTTCTAGAAGGGAGATCAAATGGCAAAACTTGCTTAATTTTCTTTAACCACTTGGATTTTTTTTTTGTATATGCTTTGTGTATTATATTTCTTTTAATACACTAAACGAATTTTTGTCTAGTATATGCACAGAATGGATTTTTTTTGGTTGTTATTTGTCTTCCCAGAGTAATTGTTCTTGGGCCATCATTAGAATGGTTAAATTTATAATAAGGAAACTGAGTATTTGGAAGTCTCAAAGTTTATAAAGTTTTAAACATTATAACTGTAGATGTAACTTCTCCTGAGCAGCAATCTTGTGGTCTCAGTCTTCGGTTCTGTCAAAGGAGGTATGCTTTATGTGGACCTGTAGGTTGTGTAGATAGAGGCAATACACTTAAGGTGGTTGCTGGAAAGAGGACTCTTGTTTCTACTTCACCAGGCTTTCTGTCTTTATACTTAACAAGGAAGCATCATTAACAGGGATGCATCAACTGATGTGTACTGTACAGCAAACCTTTTGTTTTTTGAAGACATAACTTGTTTCTAAATATCTTTGCTCTTGAGATGCCAAGTCACTGTTACCGCTTTTCATTTTTTTGAAGAAGAAAGAAGATTAGATGTAGATGAGAAGCCTCTTGTTGTACAATTGAACTGGAACAAAGATGATCGAGAGGGAAGATTTGTTCTCAAGAATGAAAATGATACACTTCCTCCAAAGGTGAGTCTTTCAGGAGTATGCTAGTGGTAACAGCAGTTCTGAAATGTGTGGGACTTGCTTAGGAGCAGGAATTGAAGAAGCAAACACTGAAAGGGCAACTCAACAATACAGCACAGGGGAAATGCCTTCTATAGTGCTTTTCCTTCTGCAGTTTATTCTTAATCTGATTCTACAACACAATTGTGTTGAAAACAGATTGACTGTAGTGTTGTTCTCTGAAGTATTTTTACTGGGTGGCAGAGATTTGTTTTGCGGCCTTCAGCTGAGCTTTGAGGCCAAGTAGGTAGTAGGCATTATTCAAGTAAAATTTTGCTGCTGCTTTGCTTTCTTGAGAACAAGGTACTTAATTGCTTCATACTTGCTTTGGAATATGAAAGTTTTTTTGTATTCTGTTATACCAGAGAGTATTAGTCCTATCCTATGTAATGGAGTACTGTTGCCTGAAGTATTGTTTTTGTGTTTGTGATACTGTGTCTTAATCAGATTTATCTGGGAAATTAAAAGCAGTACTAACTTTTCATTGGCCTAAAAATGATGGAAGTTGTTTTAAACTAATTTATTTCAGAAGGCTCAGAGCAATGGCCCTGAAAAACAAGAAAAAGAGGGTGTAATTCAGAATTTCAAACGAACTCTTTCAAAAAAAGAAAAAAAAGAAAAAAAGAGGCGTGAAAAAGAGGCCTTGCGACAAGCATCAGATAAAGACGATAGACTTCTTCATGGGGATGATATGTGAGTATTATAAACTTTGATCCCTTCATGTAATCTGCATCTTAAAGGATTTCCCCTCTCTAACAAATAAGTTGTTTCTTTCAAAAGTAGGTAGTTGACATGGGTGCAATATCGTGATAAACCAAAATACGTAATGGTAGTTTCTGTGGTTTGTATGTACATTTTGCAGCAGAGTTTTTTTTTTAAACCGTGAATTGAGCTTTTTTACACCTCTTTGTCCTTGTGCGGAAACTGACACTTGCTTGGTGATGTGGACTTTCCCCACAATGTTTATTTTTGAGCATTTACTCTAGGGTGTCTTTATTCCTCTGTGTTTGACTGTTCGGTCTTTTGCCAGAAAAATTTGTATGTGTAGGTGCTTGCATTTGACTTACCCCCTGCCTATCAGTTTAATTTTCTCAGAGAAGCATGTTTTGGTAATCAGTCTTCTAGGTTCTCTGACTCTTGCTCCCATATCTGCTGTGCCTTATTTTTTGAGACAGGACAGGACATGCATTAATCATGGTACAGAAAACTGGAGATCAAGAGTCAGCCACGAATAACTGTATGTGGAAACTGTAAACTGAGAAAGGTCTATGTAAATTAGACTTTGTCTCTGAACCAGAGTCTGTAGGTTTCGTATGTAATGCACCAGAAAAAAGTCGTTAATAGTGGATTTTTAACATACCCAGAAAAAAAGTGAAAGATGAAAACTTGCTAATTGAAAACAGATTCTCACAAATGAAGGAAATTACTTGACTTGTTGACGTTAAATGGAGGATTTAGCTGTTCCTTTTGATTTTTTTTTAAGCTAGTGATTATTTTTAATATGTGTAGTATTGCTCCACATGGATATGTTTGCAATGTTCGTCGGATGTCAGCGTGATCTTTCCAATATTCTGTGCCATTACTTAGCTTGATCTTATTTTTTTTTAATTAGAGTTGTGTTTGAGTGCAGTGGCAAAAGAAAAAGCATGAGCTGCAAGCATGTGCTCACTCTGCTTCCACATGATTTGCGATATTGCAAATTAGAATAAATTTAGGTGCGTAATGTAAAGTTTCTCTAATGCCTTCTCCCCCTCCAAGAGGTAGAAGGTCTCTTTTGTAGAAATCATGTTACAGTAACTTTGTTGATCTCCTATGCGTATGAATTCTGCTTGCCTTCTATCCTTTATGAAGTGTTGAGGATGTGTATTTTAAGCTATTAACGACATTTGTTTTTCTTTTTATTTAAACTAACATGGCAGTGAGAATTCTCGCCTTGCAGCTGAGGTATACAAAGATATGCCTGAGACCAGCTTCACTCGCACAATATCCAATCCTGAGGTGGTGATGAAACGGCGGCGACAGCAAAAACTGGAGAAGAGAATGCAGGAATTTCGCAGTTCTGATGGCAGACCAGACTCAGGTACTTGGATTTCTTCTGGTGAGAGAGTATTTTTATAGGCCAGCAACTCCTGTAAACATGACTTAACTTCTACTTTCTCCAACATTTTTTCTACTTCATGGCTCATTTATCTGTGGTGTAACAGAAAGAAGGATTTGTAGAGGTCAGATTCCACAGGAGTCTGTTCTGTGACGAGTGTGAGTCAAAGCTTTCGGTGATGGGCAGATTGATGGGAGAGAATGTGCTCATTGGTCTTGCTGACAGTGCTCAACTGGGGAAGAAGAGAGGACAGAATTAGACTTTTTAAACTGACAAACTGAGAAAGTCTTCTGAAGTAAATGTCATTCATTTTACTGAGAACAAGCTGAATGACCTGAATGTAAAAATGCAATCAGTAGCACAAATTCAGAATGGCAAGGAGTGATCCTTCAGGTCTGCACAGAGGGTTCTGGTGGATCTTGTGAATACCAATGATTGAGTATTTCACATTCTTGGGGGCAGGGATACAAAAACAGTGGTTGTATAATCACTATTAAATGAATGAATGAAACAGTATTGTTACTGATAGTCTCAAATGGTCTAGAAAACATCACCTGAGGGCAATCTTAAACGGGCTTTTTAAAGAGAGGGGAGATTTTTGAAGGTCCGCACAAACTTTGCTGTCAAGATGAGAAAGGTCAGTTCTTCATTCAGTTGTCGTCCCTGTTTTATTTTAACTTTAGGTAATATTAAGAATGGTGAAGCACTGGGGAAAAGACTTGCTTAGAGAATTTAGGAAAGCATCACTGGAGGTTTTTACCAATGGCAGAGTCAGATGTATTTCAGGGATGTTACGTAGCTTTTATTGTATTAGTGGACTGACTAAATGATTTTGAAGGGGTTCATTCTTACATTCATTCTTATGTTAGAAATATAATAAATTTGCTGCATGTCTGTCTTTTTATTCTCTGGTAACATTGTTAATTAAAGTTTGTTTCCAAGGTGGGACACTGAGAATTTATGCAGACAGTTTAAAACCAAATATACCGTACAAGACAATCCTGCTGTCCACTACAGATACTGCAGACTTTGCAGTTGTTGAAGCACTGGAAAAATATGGTCTGGAAAAGGAAAATCCCAAGGATTATTGTATTGCTCGTGTAAGTGAAATTACTAAGTCACAATCTTCTCGTGCTTCATATTTGATTTTATTCCTTGTAGTAGCTTTAACACTATATAGAAAGACTAATCCCTGAGCTAAGAGCGTCAGCTCAGAAGTAAAAGTGCTGAGTCCAAACTCCATGATAACAGATGTATATTATATGCTGTTGCCTTATGCCTTTCAGTGGTAGCTTACCCTCGTTACACATTGAAAAAGATTAAACATTTAAGTGACACATATGCTTATTATTGTCAGAATTTATTATTCTGGGAGTCCTAAATTAATTGTAAAAGGGGTAATAGTTTTATCAGAAAGTGCCATGGACACTGCTGATTAGAGGTTACAAACTTTGTCCACATGATCTTCTGGAGAAGAATAGTGAGACTTGAGAATGTTTTAGTTTGTTTGAGTTCAATCTTTGATTACATTTATGGCTATTACTTGTCTAATAAACTGGGATTTATTGTTCGTTAAAAAGATGAAAGAAAGGGAAAAGTGTTTGTAACTCGTCATACTGCACTCTCTTGCCCTGCTCCTCCATTGCTTAAAGTGCCATAAGGAAGCTTATGTTATTTGCTATTCCCTGTACTTTTTAGCTGCTCTAAAGGATGTGGATGTGTCTTTGGTCTTAAAGTTGTTTTCCAATTTGTTTTTTATGATATTTTTGTGTAACTATAGCATCTGCTTTTGCTGTGCTTACAGCCTCTGCTGGTATAATTACTGGGAATTGACATGTTGCTCTAATGTTGTTTTAATTGGCAATAAGGAAACTGGATGGTGGTAGTGTTTTTGTAGTTTTGTAACAGTGAAGTAATCTTAGCTTGCATTGTTTCAACAGTTTGTCTTAGTTCCAGACATATATTTAATGAAATTCTGGACATTTTATACATGTCTTCATTAACTTGTAATTGGAGTCCCAATTGAAAGTTAATTTTACTGGACTTCAGTAAAATTTTATGTAGGTTTTTATTCTAGAGGAGAATAATGTTGTAAATAATAGTGATTTTTATAACATAGCATATTAAAAAATCATGTTCAGTTTTGGCTGTGAAGTATTTTCTATGTGTAGTTTTAATTATGACAGTTGTCTTAATTTTGTGTGTTCCATTCATGGTTCTCAGTCATTGAGCTTTAGTCGGCTGCTGACTTGACATGCTCGTTTTTCTGCTGGTTTGAGAGAATTGTGGGCTACAGCAGAGATGTGGTGGGTGATTGTGGAAGATAGTTTTGCATCAGTCTGTTAAGTTCAGCGTTAGAGGTTTTGATGTATTATTCAATATTTATCTTTTAGGGAATTAATTGAACTGATTGTACACTTACCAGGGAAACTACTGCAAGTCACTGTTGTGGTAGTGGTGTTCTCTCTCACTTCCCCTTGTTCTCTCATCTTGTGTGGGGATGTTTAATTTTGAAAATAGTCTGAGGAATGTTGCTTTGATCTTGGGAAAGATTAACAATGTCTTTGCTGTGAAACAAATAGATTTAAATTAGTTTTCTGGAAAGCACTTCTGGAAAATATTTTATCTTTTCTTCAACACAACTTCTTGATGTAGTGACTTTCTATACTGACATAAGTTGTATGCTTATGTTTACATTTGAAATCTGTGAGTGATCTTCATTGGCTAAGAGCAGATGTTTTTATACCTTTAAGTGCAGAAGACTTTACTGTTTTGCTCACCATATATCACTGTAGTTGGCTGAAATCTACTTGGCCTTTTTTAGTGCCTCAGCTGATATAGTGCTTGGGCTTTAAATATGATGGTCCTTCCTTTTATTAAAAAATCTGAGTATTTTTAACTTAACTTCAAAATCTGCTTATTCCCAAATATTTTACGAAGTTACTTTCCTTGCTTGAAACACTAAAATTTCCTAGCTTTAGCTGTTTTATTTTCTAGAAACTCACAAATACCATGGTCATTGGTACCCCCTTACACTGAAGCGCCGTAGCTTTTCTTTACCCCTGGTGGGGCTTTTGTTCCTGTTCTTCTGATGCTTTACAGAGATTTGTCTTCCAGAACAGCCTCAGACTTGTTCCTATTCCTTGCTTTTTGTTGGATATAAAACAGCGTACAATGGATTGTATAACTTCAGTTTCCTGCTGTTTAGGATTTTAAAATATTTTGTTCTCCTTGGGTGGCAGGTGAAGTGTCTTCAAAGAAGACTTAAGGAGTTGACATTTACTTAACTATTAAGGTGGATTTTAAGTTATATGACAAGACCTTTATAAGACTGCATAAGTGCCTGTAATAAAGTTCACTTCTGAACTTTCAGTTGAAAGATGAACATTGTATGAATTTTTCATAACACTTGCCATTGTCAAGACATAATTGTAAATGGCAGCTTCCTGTTAGCTGCTTGCTTGCATACCCTGGTTTGCAGTGTATCAGGCTGTACTTTTATGCCTACTTATACAGGTTTGTTCCAATATGTGTTTTGTTTGTTTCATTTTGCTTGGTTTGAGTTTCCCTGAATAATACGGGCTTCACTGCACATCTCTCAAGATGTCAAATTAATTAGACAGTCTTCAAGCTACCTGTGCATATTCACTTAGGGCATAACACTTGAGGCATGCAGCAAACCAGTTAACTCTTTAAAGTAGAGCCTTGATTTGACTTTGGTTTTAGCCTGCTCTTATTTTTTACTTGAGGATAAGGCATAAATAACTTTTTTGTAATGTCAAGCAAAAACATGCAGTTCATGGGAATTACTTGTTTTTTTGTTTTTTTTTCCTTTGGTGTGTATTATTTTTTAAGAAATGGGCATTAAATATTTTTAAGTAAGTTCTCTTTGTGGGGGTGCAGATCCTGTGTTCCCAATTTGTAAGGAAAATTGAGGATTAATTCATTTGAATAAGCAGATACGGGGTTTTTTTGTGTGAAACTTTGCTAAGGGTGGATCTGATAGCTTGATCTGTAGCTATTACTTACCACAGAGGGCTTAATTATTTTAGTATTATCTTCTTTTACTTGTTTATCCCAGCAAATGCCTTGGAAATCAAGTCCTAAGTTGCTACAGACTTCTTAGCTTGTATTTTCTGCGTGTTTCACTGCATTTTAAATTAATAAATATAGCTTGGAATAATTTGTATATGCTCATGAACACAATTATGGGGAAGCAGAGTATATTCTTCCTAATTATAGGTTAGGAATTTGTTTCGGTTTGCAGGTTGTCAGCTGACAACCTGCTTCCAAGACTTGTGATCTTAGGCTGGTTTTGCCCATTTCCATTTCCTGCGCTGCTGAAGAAATCAGGGAAATGCCTGTGCCTGATCTCAACAGTCTGGATGGATTCAAATTCATGAAAGGATATTTCACTGCATCTTCTGTTTTTCAAAAATGAAAGCAGATCTCTACCTATGAGCCAAAACTCAGTATAATATAAACTTGTTCCCGTGTTTTTTCTGTTATTCTAAAATTTTAGCTTTGTGGATGACACAGAGGCAGCATTTGCCTAAAACATACAGATGTTCTCTAAACTGATGTTTTCTAAAATGGCTTCATTGCAGTTGGAAGCCGCCTGGCCTGTATGAGCTCAGGTGTGTTGTTTTGTGTCTTTCTGCAGCTTAGGTCACACACTTTTTTTTTTAAGTGAGGTACGTCTGAGAAACGGGAGGAGCAGTAACTGAATGAGGGGATGAGTGCTTTTGTGACCCCTCTTGTCTGACTTGTCTGCCTTACCATTGCTGACCTTAAGCCCAATGCCAGTAGAGATGCTCATCCAATTTCCAAGACAGGAGTAATTCAGGGCCAAGTGGTAGCACTTATATATTTATATATCATCTGTCCTCCAGCTTCACTGTATTTAGGGTTTCTTTGGTTCGCTCCCCAGTCCAGTATTGATCAGTCCCTGGTACAGGTGCTATAGTCTGTAGTTCTGGTATTGTTGCTGGTTACCTTCTGTCTTGAGGGCTGTGGAATTTAAAAGTGGTTGGTTGTTGTATAAGGCTTGAAACAACAGTGTTGCTTTGGTTAGCTAATCAAAATTATCCCCTAGGTATAATTGATTTTAAAATCTGAGATGTGAAATAGAAAAGAGTGGTTTGACAAGATAAGATTTGAGTGTAGATGTGTTTCTGTTTCCCTTTGGTTTATACATTTTAATGTTTTCCTCACTTTGTAATATCTTGTCTATTTGAAAATCTAATTAAAGATAATTTCGGTAGACCTATGTTTAACCAGATTTTGCATAGAAAATATTTTAGCTAAAGGTCAATTACTTGACTGCATACTTTTGATCTTAAACTTACTTGTTTCCTGCTTGGAAGAGGATGAAAGGATGTTTGAGGTGGATCTGTGAGAACTTAGTTAACACTGAAATGGGAGGTGACAAATAAGAAAGGAAAGCCTCTTGAAGGCTGCACCATAGTTGGATGCAGTAGCCAATAGCTTCATAACTTCAGAAGGTGTTACCTGAGTCTTAAGTTCAGATATGGGAATAGTTTTGAGTAGTTTTTTTAAAATAGAGCTATCCATGAATTTTAATAACATTGTTAGGATCTCAAATGAGGGAGTAAAATGTATTTTATTTTTTTATTCAACTTTGAGAGATCTGTCTTTAACTTAGAAGGTGCTTATGCACTGTAATATTGCCTGTCATTGTTTTTTATCCTTGGTTGCTGCGGGGAGCAGTAATGCAAATGTGCAAGAAATCACAGGCTTTGTCTCCTTTAGAGTCGGAACTCATGAATCAAGGTTTCCCCCTTCCTCTGCCTTGTAAGGATATAGCTGTAAAAGGTATGAACAGTGTGTGGCTCTGTACCCAAAGTGTGCTTAATTTTGGCTTTTCCTTAAAGCAGCAGGAAGCAATGGTGTGAAATGCTCCAGTCATGCCCATGGTCTCTGTGTAGAGCAGGCAAAGGTTGGGTGAGACAAGGGTGCAGGAGGTGTTGCTGCGTTCTCCTTGCCACCTTGTTTGGCCATTTCTAAATGTACTTGCATGTTGCAGTAGCAGAATGGCATTTGCAAAATGAAAGGCTGATTCCAGTGTGTGAGGTAATAAAGGAAAATTCAGGTTTGTTTTTTTAATCCATAAATATTTTTTTTTCTTGCTGTTGAGAAATGGGAATAATTTTGTTTACTTGAAGATGGTCTTCTCTACCTGAAATGTAACTTACTTTGCTTTTAAAATATATCTGGTGTTCTGGGAAGTGTGATTTAACTGTAACAAGAGGCCAAAGAGAGTGTGTCTTGGAAAGCAAAATGCATTTCAGGTTACTGAATTATGTTGCTTTTACCTCTTATTGTAAACAAACAAACAAAATAAATCAGAAGAAATATCCCTGAATCCTCTGTTCTGATTGTCCACCAACAGCTTTGAAAACTGATAATGGTTCCTTTCCAGGTCATGCTGCCTCCTGGTGCTCAGCATTCTGATGATAAAGGTGCTAAAGAAACTATTCTTGATGATGATGAGTGTCCACTGCAGATATTCAGGGAGTGGCCTAGTGATAAAGGTATGTCTAAAAAGCTTTAAGAGATCCAGTAAGAAACTGGAACATATTTTAGAGTGTTTTGTTTTCAGGCACTTTTAGTACTAGGTGCTTTTAGAGTTGCTGTTTCATTCAGCACTGCTTATAGTAATACGTCTTTAGACAGTAAAAGAATTTTACATTTTATCTTAAAGTTTTTAAATTGTCCACTGTGGAGAAGTGTGCTATTAAACTTTTAAATAAGCTGAAAGAAATCCTATGGAAGACTTACAAATTAATAGGTGTTGGATGTGTGCTTGTTCAATGATGGTGAAACTCAAAGGATGTATGATCTTGTTTTAGGAATACTGGTCTTTCAGTTGAAAAGGCGACCTCCTGATTACGTCCCAAAGAAATCCAAGAAAATAACTGATGGAAAGCCATTAAAGGGGAAGGAAAGAGTTGACGGTTCTGGCTATGGTTCTTGCCTTCCTCCTGAGAAACTACCATACCTGGTAGAATTAAGCCCAGGTAAGAATTCTGGTTATCTAATAATCTAAAATACATTATTACCTAGCCAGTTAGGTTTCCCAAAAATAAGACTTTCCTTGGAAGAACGAGAAAGTGAGTGCCGCATCAGTTGTTCTCTTGATGCCACGTTCTGAATTGGAGCGATCTAGAAGTAGAGCTGCATATTGCTAGAATACTGAAATTTTAGTAGCGAATGTCTGGAGAAGAAAAAAAAAAAGGGAAGAAATTTTTGACTAAAGCTTTGTCTCTTTTAATAACGGTTTCAAGTATGAAGTTCAGTCATTCAATTTTCATCTTCCTTTGGATTTTGGGGTTTAAAACTTGATAATAGTGAGTAAAATAGTTTAACGTGTCGTCTTATGATTTAGGGGGGAAAACAGAAAAGCACTGCTTGAATCTGATTTGTTTTACATTCAGAAGTATGCTGTAGCATACCTAGTAAGATATATTTGGCAGTGCCATACATGAAAAGTACATTTTTAGAAGGCCAAGAACATGAATTTTTAAATCAAACTTATTTACTTAACATTTTTCAACTTATATGGAACCTTCAGATCACTAGCAAGGCTGAGATTTATTTTGGCATCTTTACAACTCTCTGGGCTGTATTCTAATTTACGAATAATTTTATGATCTAGGAACAGCCAGGGGAGCTTGATTGTTTATAGCCCAGCAGCTGATGAAACACATACAACTTCTACTCTTAATTTCCATCATCTTCATGTTTAGAGATTTGGATATGGACTTTCATTTTGGGTGACTTAGTTTTTTGCAGCTCTTTTTCCTCTCGAGTGTAACTTGGGTATGCTCAGGCATCCAAACAAATGAATTACAGTTTGAAGGCTGGTTATTTACCTTTCAGGAAGCAAGGTTGGAAATCGCTGCAGAAAACTTCTTTGACCAGAATTGTAAACAAAAGGTTAAATTCATAGTCAAATAGCATGGGGTTTTTGTTTTGTTTTGTTTAAAAAAAACTTTAAAAAAGTGCCCAGATGAAACTAGCAGTACACAGTATATTTTATATAAGTAAATAAGTATATTTTATATCATGTTCTATATGCTGAGGATCGTTTTGCATATTATTATTTTTTGTTCTTTTAATAGTCCTTTTGCTTTCTTGCGCTTTAAACTCCTAATCTTTGTGGAGCCTGGTTGCTTCAGTATTCAAACGTTGTGCTTGGGCAGCAGAGCAAGACATCTATTAACTGAGAGAGGCAAAACAGTCTGAAATGCCACAGGTGGCAATTGCCTGTGGGACTGACCTATTGTTCATGTTTTTCTTCTAACAGCTCGTTGTTGCTTTTCTAAACAATAAGGGTTGTTTCATTCAGTAGCTGTGTAGTACTGATGTCCTTATATTCTATGCAGTTTCTAAAGTTGAAAGAGTTCAATGCACTACGTCCTTATAAACTGAATCAATGTTTTACGGCTACAGTTTCACCCTTTCCTGTCTTTTCTCTTCCTGCCCTCTTCCGCATGTTCTGCATGGTATCTGTCCTGCTGGTGCTGCCTTCACCTGGGTCCTCTGCATGTGTTGCTAACCCCAGGGAGAAGGAATCACTTTGCCTACTACAACTATCACGCTTATGAAGGTAACGCTATATTTAATACTGTTCTCTCATCAGTCACTAAAAAAATCGCTGGCTGTAAATCTTTTGTTTCTTTTTGACAAATGAAAGGCTTTCTTGCTTATCTTACTTTTTTCCAAGGGGCTGCTTCTGTCAAGTAGTACTCTCTCTTGTCAGCTGCCATGTAATGATTCTGTCTGTGAACAAACATCAAATAGATGGTGAATGTGCTACTGTCCAAAGAATTCAACCTTCCAGCTAAGGACTTCATAGGGAGGTTTACCAGCAGTGTTGTGATAGAAAGAAAAATGTTCTTTGATCCATCTGCTTGCAGAATTCATAGTTAAAAAGTGAATTGGGTAAATGGCGTGGACCTTAATTGTGCTTTTCAGTGTTTGACCACATTGATGCAGTTCCTGAAATCCATAATGATTTTTATGTGAAACAGTGTTTGGACCACTGGTGAAGTGACCTCACTTTCTGCTCAGTGCTGTTCCATAACAACCTTTGGTATTTCTGCTGCCTGGTTTGTGCTGTTGCCTAACATTAACAGTGTATGTCAAAGAGATTTAACCACATTACACAGTAAAGTCTTGTTCAGTTTTATCTGTAGCATTTGAAATTCATAACCTGACCTACAAATCATTATGGATTGCTGTTTCTCCTTAAGGTTTAGAGTAATGTGCAGGTATGTCCTGGTTTGGCCAAATAGACAAGGATACAAAGCCACTTTCTTTTCCCTTGTGAAATATCTACCAAAATACCTTTTCCTTTTAGGTTTTTTTAGCATCTATTTCCTCACTTTATTTTATAGACCACTATAAAAGTGCTGTGTCTGTTGGTGTTGCTCACACTTCTGTGGCTATAGAGTACAATACTGGAATTTAAAGAGAGCTCTGTTCAAACTTGTGCCTCCAGTGCTCAACTCCTTGATGAATTCAGATTTCCATTTCATTCACATTGGTATTCCAGAGAGCAGAAAAGCCCCTTAGAGTGTGCTGAACTAACAAGCGTAGGTGAGTTCTGTAGGAACACCTGACCACTGAGTAGACAGCCTGAAATTTGGCTGCATTGCACTGGAAAAATAAAAAAAAAAATCTCAGTTTCTTAGATCTTTGTCTCAGAGTGTAAAAAAGAGGTCTTAGTACTATAGAGCCCAGTCTGTCTCTTTGGAACAGTTCATTTCTGGATACATCTGTTTATTATAGAAACAAGTCCTGCAGAAGTGTCCTGTCAAAACATTGGCTGTTTCTGTTCTTGCAGAAGAACCTAGCAGACTTCAGTGTCATGCCCTATGCAATTGCACAAATTCAGTAAGTTTGCTACTGGAAGTACATCCCATTTTCCTGCTTCTCCATGGCTGCTGCTGTTGCTGGTTGTATGGTTGTTTTACAGACTGAAGATCAGATTCTTCACAGTAATGAGAGAAGATGCACTTCAGTAGCTTGTGGCTGTAAATGTGGCAGTCAGCAGTCGTCTCTGTTTTCCAAGTCTTGTAAATGAACCAATAAACTGAGATAAATCTGATAGTAATAGAAATAGACTGGATAGACTGAAGTGAGAAACAGCAGTGCTTTGAGTAGCTGATACTGTATGTTATCTGTGAATATGGCTGCTGCTGAGTTCAGGGATGTTATTAACAGGAGTTGTTCAGTCATGATATTTAAAGGCTGAGAAAAATGCCAAAACCATTTTTTAGGATGTGGACCTCTGAGATTTTTCCTGTAAGTCCCAAAATAAAAATTATAAAGCATTAAAAAAGGCAAACCCTTAAGGCTTTTCTACCTGCTGATTCACAAAAAAGCAACCCTGAACTGTAGAACTGACAGCAATAGGAGGTGCTGAGAGCACGCTGGTATAACAACTCAGAAAGAAGAATTATGGGAGGTTGGAGAAGTTCAAAAGCCTTGGCCAGGGTGGTTTCCCTGGCCAACCTCCTTTCTGAGAACAGACCTGCAGTATGGTGTGTGGTAACACTTTTACGTGGTAGTTTGAAGGAGCTTTGTTGTTTGTCACATTCCTCACTGAATCTTCCTTTACCAAAAATGTTTACTATTGCCTCTTTCTGCTGAAGTGAAGTTGTCTGAAATTTAATAGCAGAATTATCTCCTGAATTCAACATATTTCAAGTCTGTCCAACCAACCTCTTAAATTTCTTACTGTCTAAACTCTTAGCACTCAGGAACTTGTGCAGGAAATCTGCTGGATTTCAAATGTGGATTTAACTAATTTTCAAGTCAATGGTTGCAGTCCATTGTGTGGATGTTGTTGTTCAGTTTTGGGCTTGCTTGTTTTCTATGATCTGATCTTCATCATATCATTTAGTCTGGTCGATACTATTTTCCAGCACTGTTTGAAGCACTGGATTAGCAAAATCAATTGAAATGATCTCCAAAGTGGTGTAGGATTTACCTTTTAGTAGTGAAGTAATGCATTTAAAATATATATCCATAAAGGGAAGCCTGTCTTGTCTTTTCCTGTTGATTAAAAATGTACATTTGTATTATGAATCACTGAGTTGATGTGCCTACAGTGACCATTCACTTCTGTACGCTGCAGGTTGTGTTGTTTTGTTGTTTTTTTTATAATGCTGCTTTTTGGAGTGTGAATGTTGACTCTTAACTGCATAAACCCAGTCATGAATCTATTTGTTTTGCATCGTTAGTATGGAAAGTGATAGAATGCTACAGTTTTCACAGATTTTACATAAACAATTTTACTAGTAATTATAGGGGAATAGTAATATACTGTGCATATTTTTACTCTAAACTGAGTGTTTTATAGTGGTTTTTACTGTATGTTTACATGCTTTAGTGTTTTTGAAAACCCTTTCTGCTTAAATCACTGTTTTCTGCCTGGTCTTTGGTGATAAGGTCTGTTTTCTGATTGAAAGTTACCTATTGAAATAGAAGTTTTCAACCTGCAAAAGGAAGTATACAGAGATGTATATGTATCTTTGTATGTGTACTTCTGTGATGGAGGAAAAGAACTATGTAAACCATAGAAAGTTTATTTGTACCCTCATATGATGTCATTGGGAAATGCTTTGTCAGGTAGATAGTAAATTTTAATGTATGTAATAGTGTCTGTCTTGGTCTTTTGAATCATAGTTCTTGCTTCTTTAGCTTGTATCTTGGAGGCACATTACAATTCAATTTTATAAGCTTAACAAACCCCAGAAACCTAGATGTTTTCCACACCTATTTAACTCTGCTAATGTTATTCAGTTGTGGGTGCTATAAACAGAATACGGGCTATCTTTCTTCCATGCCAGGTGTTTACTTATCCACACATATATAATGAACAGGTTTGTATAGAATTCATACATTTCCTTACACCTCTTGCTGTTTCTTTTATATTGTTTCTTAATGCCTACCTTTCTGAGAACTTTGACCTTTCAAATTTCTGAATGAAAATAAAATTAGTGTTGTGTCAGATAAAAAAACCCAGGCATATTAATCCCCTTCTCCTCCCCCTACAAGTTCTGGACTTTGTTATATGACTTACATGGCGTGTGTTGTCTTTCTGAACTGTCAGAAGTCCTCAAAGTTTGGTCCTTAGAGTCTAAGAATGGCCTTCTTGGGCTGCCAGAGTTTGGGGAGCAGGGACTTTGCCATAAGTATGGCAGAATCTGTATCCCGTGTTAGTGAGCTATGAGGAATGTATTCCAGACAGCATTTAGGTGCACTTCCACCTAACGCAACTTTCCTTCCCTGCTGCATCCCTCTCCTCAAACAAAAAGGCCTTTAATTCTTTTGGAGTTTTTAGTAATTCACTTCAAGGTTAAGATGCCTTTTACTGTAGAAATTGGCTTTTACTGATGGATGATTACATGTGTGCTCCGAATGACTTTCAATATCTCCTTGTGTTTTTCTTGTTTTCCTGGAAAGAAAAAAAGTATTTGTATCTCATGCTGTAGTTTTAAAGTAAGTTTTTTCTTGTTACATTGGACACTCCAGAGAAACAAAACAGTCTTAATTTGTCTCAGCAGAAACATTGCGATACTGAAATATGTTTTTGATGTGAAAGCACATTTTACATGACCTGTGTCTATATTGAGGATATATGGTGGTGTGAGGTAAAGGTTCATTAGCAGGATTGATTATTCACAAGTGCTGAACTCAGAAATAAGATCCAGAAGCTATCTTAACTAAACACTTGAAAAACATAATAATATATCATGTATTTTACAGAATATTTCAGAAATATGTTGGAATATTTTTAAAGTTTGGGATTTTTTTAAGTTGTCAAAAATGTAAAAGTACATTTAGTATAGGGGTGAAATCACTGAACTGTAAAAGCCTGTTCTTCAATTTGTATATAAAGGGTTCAGGACAAAAGTGCCATAAGAAATTATGAACAAAAGCCCTGGATAACTAGTCCTGACTTTTATGCCACTGACTTTTGAAATTCCAGTATTTTTGCATGTTAGATAAGGGTCCTTGCCTCCAAACTGGTGAGACCGCATCTGGAATATTGTGTCCAGTTCTGGGCCCCTCAGTTCAAGAAGGACAGGGAACTGCTGGAGAGAGTCCAGCGTAGGGCTACAAAGATGATCAAGGGAGTGGAGCATCTCCCTTATGAGGAGCGGCTGAGGGAGCTGGGTCTCTTTAGTTTGCAGAAGAGGAGACTGAGGGGAGACCTCATTCATGTTTATAAATATTTAAAGGGTGAGTGTCACGAGGATGGAGCCAGGCTCTTCTCGGTGACAAACAATGATAGGACAAGGGGTAATGGGCACAAGCTGGAACACAGGAGGTTCCACTTCAATTTGAGAAGAAACTTCTTCTCAGTGAGGGTGACAGAGCACTGGACCAGGCTGCCCAGAGAGGTTGTGGAGTCTCCTTCTCTGGAGACATTCAAAACCCGCCTGGACGCCTTCCTGTGCAACCTCATTTAGGTGTTCCTGCTCCGGCAGGGGGATTGGACTAGATGATCTTTTGAGGTCCCTTCCAATCTCTAACGTTCTGTGATTCTGTGAAACTGAATCTGGTATCTTTTGAGTGTCAGTTTTACCAAACTGGGATGTGGGTCAGAGGAGGAAATGTTTGACTTTTGGATTTATAACTTAAAATAAATGAAGGAATTTTGTGGTTAAATGGCTTGCATTCTGATTTTAATAAGCAGATCCTGGTAGTAATGCTGGGAGTTTACAATTAGACTTACGGAGGTTTTGTTTATATTGACATCCATCTAAAATTTGAAGATTATTAGTATCCTACTGAAGACAGTATCACTGTATGTGCCATGACTTTAATAATATTCTCTAATGCTTTTTGGAGATGACTTGAAATGATTGTTCATGTCCACAGGTAAGACATTCTTTGCCTTGCAGTCTCTCTTTATTGTATCTTCCCTTTGGAGGAGACATTGGAGAGAAGTCAGTATTAGTTTAGTATTTAATATTATTTAAAACTGTAGTATTTTCTTGGAAGCAGTAAGGATTTATATGTATGCCAAAACCATCTGTGTTAGCCTGTGAAGGCAGCAGCTAGACCCTGTACTGCATCCAATGCATCCTGTGAAATTTTATTTTATTTGAACAATATGTTCTTCTGGGAGTAGGAGGAAGACAGACTTTATCTTTGACCTCATTTTCTGCAAGGTGAAATGTCCTAGTTTGAGCTAAATAGAACTAATTTTCTACTTAGTGATTTTACCTTGCAGCTGAGTCTCTTCTAAGTGACTGTACTTTCTGAAACTAAAATCACTAAACAGAAAATTACATCTATTTAGCTCTAATTAGTTAATTTAGTGGCCACCCAGCCCTAAATCACAACATGAAAGTACAGGGCAATGGGACTATAAAGATAAGGCCAAAAGTGCTACAGTCCTGTATCAAGACTAAAGCTGTCATAGGTAAACATTTTGTAAGATTCTCTTAATATTGTCCTATTGCAGTATCTGATGAATAGGAAACAGTTTGGCATGTTGGCCACCTGACAGTAGCTATTGCTGATAATCTGTACTTTTAGTAGGATCAGTAAATACTCTTATTATAGAGATCTGCAGATACCCTTATTTTCTAAGCCTTTTAAATCCATATTGGCATACCCATATAAAATCTTAGAGATTAATAAAAAATCGTATTGCTTAAACTACTAAGGAAATAGAGAAAGTTTTTCAAAGTATGTTCAGAATAATAGTTCTTGATTACTTCACTCTTCCCACTTGTAGAAAAAAGCCACTCTGAGTGGGCTCTGTATGCTTTCAATGTTTCTACACTATGATGAACAACTAAGTTCCCAACAAATCTTGAAAGAATGTCAATAAGTAATTTTTTCCGTGAACTTTGCTACTCTGAGTTAAATTGAATAATGTAGAAATATTGTGTGAGTGTTTGAACTTAATAACTCACAAAATAATGTTTGTCACTTGCTGTACAGATGGTTCTGACTCCAGAGATAAGCCAAAGCTCTATCGTCTACAGTTAAGTGTCACTGAAGTTGGAACTGAAAAATTTGATGACAATTCCATTCAGGTATGGAAAAAAAGCAGACAAAACTGATCTGATCTCTGCTCAGTTATGTGTCGTTGTGGAAACTAGTAAAATATTCTGTGAATATCCTTCAAAGATAGAAGGGTAAAATATTGCTGCAATTTCATGTTAATGGTCATAACTTTATGATTTTATTTTATTTCATTTCCTTTTTCTTGCTTTAAGAGGAAAGTAAGATTTTCATTATTTAAAATGAAATAGTCGTCTTCATCACTGGATCAATATATCATGTTATCCTAACTGCTTAATGGCTTTCGAGTCCTAGTCTCAACCCCATTGAGTGAAGTAGGATTTCTTAAAAAGTAGAAAACAAGTGTAGCTATATGAAGTTGATGCCATAATAGCACCCTGGCTCCATGTCAGTGCAGTTGGTTGACTTGTAAATACTGGCATTGTGAGATTTCACCCCAAAACAGCAAGTGGAAGAAAACAGTTCTGAATATCATGACCAGAAAAGTGAAAAAGTTTTCATTGAGAGATCTCTGCTGCACATTTTAGTTAAATGTGTGGCTTATTGTTTCTGTTGTAAGGAAAATTGAAGTGAAACTCCACTGCTTTTAGTACCACTCATCTCTGTTAAATGCGTAAGCAAGCAAAGTTAATAGCCTGTAAATAGGGTAAGCTGCAGCCCAGTCTTTTTTTGTTGTTGTTCTGTTTTAATTTCCGCTTCTGTATAATTTAGTTTATTCCATGTTAATTAATTCTGTTTTCAGTTATTTGGTCCAGGAATTCAGCCTCATCACTGTGACCTCACTAATATGGACGGAGTTGTTACTGTAACCCCAAGAAGCATCGATGCTGAAACCTATGTGGAAGGTCAGCGTATTTCAGAAACCACCATGCTGCAAAGTGGAATGAAGGTTCAGTTTGGGTCATCTCACGTATTTAAGTTTGTGGATCCCACTCAGGACCATATTATTCCTAAAAGGCCTATTGATGCAAGTCTTATGGTCAAAGGTCCAAGGCACAAAACTGGGTGAGTAAAATTTACTTTCTTCCCACTGAGATGAATGGGGTAACCTTGGAAAAAACAGAGCATTATGAATGGTGTATGACTTGAGTATGAATTTAGATGAGTTCTGAGTAGCTGCTTTGAAGTGTTAACTATAGAATAGCTATTTTAATACTTGAGCTCCACCTTGTGATTTTTTTCAGGATTAGCAAGTGTCTTTTTCATTATGAAGTACTCAGAAAGGTTTTCCTGATGCTCAATTTTGTGTTCAAAAAAAAGTGGTACACCTTATTTCAAAGGTCATCCAACCTCCAGGAAGAGTAAAGAATTCACTGAATGTTTTCAGAGAGCCTGTTTTTTTTGGTTTTGTTTTTTTTACCTCAGATAGTAACTTTTAAAATTCTACTAGAAGCATCTGGAAATTAAATAGTGTAGTCAAAAAATGGGACAAAATGGAAAAGTCAAGATAAGGAACTATATGTCTGAATATACCAACCACTTTTTACAGTGTGATTACTTATCTTCTGGTTTCTGTGTTGCAAGGACTAACAGTCCAGAAGTCCATCCTGTTTTTTCTCTGTATATTCATTATATTCACTGATAATAGATTTTATGACCTGTAGAGGCTCAGGTATTCTGTTCAGTGGCTATAGAAATATCAGAAGAAACAATATTAAAATCAAAGTATATAGCATGGAAAAAAATAACATATCTTCCATTTCTGGTTCCAAATGAGGCTACAACTGTAGTTTGCCATGGTTTAGAAAAGAAACAATTTGGCTTGGAGATGAATGAGAGACACCTAGGATAAGAGGCTCTTCTGGCTAATCTGCTGAGTTAATATAAATGTGTACTCAAAGCATTACTATTTTTCCTCCACTTTATTTTATTGTGGAAGTACTCTGTGTGCTTGCTGTAGGACTCTCTTCAGGAAGACCTCCAGCCATTTAGCAGTCATGTAATATTTCTGCCTAAATCTTGGGTTCATTCTGCATCTAGCCTGCTATCAATAAACAAATGTTCTCACAGATGTACATAGCCAGCTGCAAAGCACTGTGCTACTGCAGAGGCTTACCTGGAGAGCAAAATCTCTCACAAAGGGTTATTGCAGCTTGAACAATCAAATGTTTTAAAAATCTTTAGAATAAGCAGGTAATAAAATTCATTACTATGGTTTGTGAACGATTTATATTACTGAAATTGTTGTACATTTAGTACTGAAGAGCTGAGCAAAAAATTGTAGCAAGTATACTACAGTGAATACAATACCTTGAATGTATTTTTATTTATTTTTGTATTTTATATTATTTATGTTTGTGTTCTTATATTATCTCACTTGGCTGGGGAAAAAAAATGTAACTAAGAATCTGTTTTTCCAGAGGAAATTATCTGTATATTTATAGTCTTTTTGTATAAAGAATTAATACAGTGTTTTTAAAAGTGAATATTAACTGAACGCAGGATATTGAATTTTTTGACTCACTTCTTGAATTTTGATTTAGTAATTTTAGCTGCTCTGCTCCTTGTCTGTTAAATGTTTAAAATATAATTTCTAAAAGGTACTTTAAATGTTGTCTTGCTTTTAGAGCTGTTCAGGAAACCACGTTTGATCTGGAGGGAGATGTTCACAGTGGAACAGCATTGCCAGCAAGCAAGGTATTATATTATGACTAAATTAGCAATAAATAATAAAAGATCATGTGTAAGTTAGGTCATAATTATAACATAAGGAGTACTTGGTAAAGTGTGACCGGTTCATCATGCTCTCCAGCCCTTTCCTGTTGTGGGTGGGCTTGAGTATCATGTGCATTTTTTATTTTTCTTTTTCTCTCCACAAAAGTGTTCTGTTTAAGCTTGTATTAGCTTTTGGCATGCATTCTGTGCCAAGAACAATAACTTTTTTTAGAAAGGGAAATTCATCAAGCCTGGAATACTTTCTCCCCAAACTGACCTATTGAAGGCAGATTACGTGCAGGTAGAGATTGATATTACAAATGATACATCGTTATCTCATGTATGTAGCATATGACTGTTGTCATCTGCGATAGAATAAATACATGTTTTATGTAAAATGTGAAAGGGTGTTTAGTTTTAGTTTAAACTAGGCTTTTAAAATTTAATAGGCGTGACTTTTGACTTCAATAGAGCTCCTGTATACACGTTGACTAAACAAACTGTCTCTGCAGTCATAGTTATAAACATTTTATGAGGTGATAATCTTTTCTTGCTTTCTGCACTGTCTTTCTGTTAATAAATTTTGTGCCGGAGCTGCATTTTCAAAGAGCAAATGTGCAGAGTAAAATGACACAGTGGTTATTGCTTTTCTTGGTGCTGTGATCACATGCATCAGATGAAATAAAAGAATGAATTATTTCAGCAGTATGAAAAGTATTAGTCTTCCCAGAAATGCGTTTCCTTTTATTACTACTATCATGAAATTGAAATACTTGTAAAGAAATTTAGTGATATTGGTGTGGCAGTGTAGGTATTAATAATACTCTGATAGATTTGAATATATTTGTTTGTCCTATAGTTTTTATTCTTGCCTCTGACTTCTGATTCAGTTTTTCTCCTTTCTTTGTAGCTTTCTTTGTGAAAATGCTTTCTTTTATCTTGGATACATTCTTTACCTCTGATAGGAATTTATTTAATGACATTTTGGAAGGCAAAAGAAGAAACAAACTTGTTAACTATTAAAATGCCTCAAAATTGCTCAAAATTGGGGTTTCTGACATTATTATATAGCATACCTCATATTCTTTTCAGACTCATTAGAAAAATACTTTAGTGGACCTAGGAAAGCTTGGGAATTTTTTTTTTTTTAGTTTTACTGTTTAAGAATATGCATGACATCTTGCTACATCACTAGTGAATCACTTGTTTTCTAACAGTTGCTCTTATGAGTTTGCTTTTCTATTTGGAAAAAGGGTAACAAGAACTTCAATGAAAGTTCTCTGAGTCCTGGCAATGAAAAGTGATTCATGGACTGTCATGTCAGTACTGAAAAGGCTATTTTGTTCAAATTCTTTTTTTGAGATGCACTTTTTGGTTGGTTTTCTTGTGTCAAAGCAAATTACTTAGTCCTAGAAATTTCTTAGGAAATGTGGAAACACTTCGTATTTTACTGGTATTTTGTTTTCAACTGTTTAAAATAGTTGCTCTGTATTTTCCTGCTTAAAGTGGCATGTTTTTCCCCTTCCTGATAGGGTTTGATGAAATCTGAAATTATAAATTAAAAGCTTCTTGTTAAGGATTTTGTGACATTGAAAGTAAATTAATTAAATTGTACATAAAAAATTGCAGTTTGAATTGCCACTTCTTGTCTTGGAAGATTACTTACTGTCTAGGAGGTCAGACTTCCTCTAAGAACAGGATAATATATTACGACAGGGATCAGTAATATAAGCAGTTGGAGCTATTGCAGAAGCAGGGTAGGGGTGCATAGGCAATTTTAAATCTGTTAATAAGTTTAACTTAGTCTTTAGCTAAAGATCTAATTTAACAATTCTTACTTTGCGTTGATAACTATACAACTTTTGCAACTTTTGAACTACTTTTTAACTATGCAAATTTTAAAGGCATTTGAAATTTTCACTGTCTGTTCTTGCAAGGCATTAACAAAGAGCTGCTCCTAGCTGGCCACGGTCATCATTTGAGTTGGAATTGGGCTCTTCAGTGCTTTTCTGTGGTGAAAACACCTGTTGAGCTGCCGGTTTCTGTTCTGTACTTTTCTGTTTTCCCATCTCTCTTCAAGCCTCAAATTGACACTTGATTTTTGTAGTGCCAAGCACAAATACTGGCTAATCCCATGTTTGCATGCTAAGCACATGTCCTGCTGTTTTGAATTAGAGCACCAGCAGGCTTGATGGTGACAGGACATTGTCAGCATCCAGCACAGCCGAACGAGGAATGGTGAAGCCGATGATCAGAATAGAACAGCAAGATTACCGCAGACAGGAAAGCAGGTAGGAAATGTGTAATCCATTACTTCTCATAATGGCAAAAAATTGACACATTTTTCTGATATGTCAAGCAGTGTGTTTAAAATATTTTAAACTACTTGATTTTCCCTGTGGAAAGTGAGATTGCCTTTGAGATCTCACTCCAAATAAAACCACGGATCAAAAACCAGAGAAAAAACTTCAGAATATTAAAAAAAAAATTACTCCTTTGCTTCAGTATTCTGTTGTTTGTAGTTGTCTTTTTGTAAAACCAGGCTGATAGTCATGTCACACCACTGTTGATTTTTGTTTTGGGATGTCGTATGAAGTGCCTTTAATAACGAAAGTACAATTATTTGAAATTTTCATTTGTCAGTGGCAAGATATGATTTATTCTGGAGAGGGAAATAACCAGGTCATTTGTATTTCTACAGTAGTGTTGTTGGCAAGTCTTGTGAGCTAGAATTTTACCTACCTCTAATTGCTTGTCTTGTACACTTATGTAATTTCTAAGTACACATAACACCTCCTTCTTAATTTTTGCTTTCATGAAGTGGTGGCTCTTATTAGGTAGATAAGTGCTATCCTGTTTTGCTCATAGGCACTTTTTTCAGGAACATGAATGACATTTACAGTGCCCTGCATATTCGGTTTGTTTCCAAAGCCATAGTGGAAAACACTGACTTCAAATCGTGTGCCATTTTCTTACTATTCAGTCTCCACATATTCATAATACATTTTTCAAATTCTGTTTGTGCCCATCCAAAAAGACCTGGTGGGGGATGCATCTAAAGTTTCTGGGAGTTGGCATTGCAAAGCCACTGTCTTTGAAAGCCACATCTTTGAAAGGTCGTGCAGATCAGAGGTACTGAATGACTGGCAAGGGGCAAAGACTACACCCATCTACAGGAAAGGCAAAGTGGAAGATCTATGAAAATAGAGACCAGTCAGCATTAATTCAGGCCCAGGGAAGATTGTAGAACACGTCCTTGTAGAAGCTATTTCAGGGCGCACAAAGAACAAGAAAGTGGTTAAGAAAAGACCGCATGGATTTACTAAGGAAAAATCATGCTTGACCAACGTGACTGGCTTCCATGGTGAAGCAACTTGCATAGTTAATGAGAAGTTAATGAGAGGAGAGCTCTGGGCATGGTATCATCTGCCTGATTCTAGCATTGTCACAATTTCCCAGAACATCCTTGTTGGTAAGGTATGGTCTGGATCAGCAGACCACAAGATGGGTGGAAAACTGGCTAAATGCTAGACTGAAAGAGTGATGGTAAATGGCTCAAAGCTGAACTTGGCAGCTGCTCATGAGTTGAGCTTCTGAAGGTCAATATTGGATGTGATACTACTCAGGAATTGTATAAGCAATCTGCGTGACAGGATTGAATGCATCATCACCAAGTTTGTGGGTAAGGCAAACTTGTTTGGAGGACAGCAAATAAACCACAAAGAAAAGCCACTGTTCAGAGACACCTATTCCATAAGCATTGCATGAGGTTTAATAAAAGTAAGTGTGAAGTCCTGGACACGACACAGAAAATGCCAAAAGCAATGTAGGCTGAAATATGACCCCGTTTGGACTGCAGCTCTGCTGCAGAGAAAGTAGGGTCCTGGTATACAGCAAGCTAAACTTGTGTCAGCAGTATATCCTTGCAGTGGTGAAGGCAAAGTATGTCCTGGGCTGCATCAGCAAGAACAGAGTCAGCAGATCAAGTGATGGTATTATCCCGCATTATTTGGCTTTTGTTAGGCCCTAGCTGGAATACTGTGTCCATTTCTGTGACTCCAGTTCAAGAGAAAGATTGAAGAACTGGCAACAGTCCCATGAAGGGACATCTCCATCAAGATGATCAGAAGATTAAAGAATTCGACATATGAAGAAAGGTTGAAGGCACTGGGTTTTTTCAGTCTAGAGAGAAGGTGGCTCAGGGTGGATCTAATCACGATCTTCAGACAGAAGATGGAGCTGCTGTCATCAGAAGGGTGCAGGTTGACAGCTGAAGAGGCCATGAGCAGAAGTTGCTTTGTCTTGTCTGTAGGGAGAAGTCGGGAGGAATCTTCACAGTGGGACCAAGTGAACACTGGGATTTGTTGCCCAGAGAATCTCCCTCACTGGAAAGTTTCAGGGTTCTGCTTGACAAGGCTCTGGATAACCCTGGATAAAATGCTGCCTTAAACAGAAGGTTGGAGCATACAATCTCTAGGTGCCTTTCAGCTTAGGCTTCTGTACAATTAGTTTTTCTCTGGAGTCCAATGTCTTGGTCAGTTCTGATAAAAAGAGCTTATTTATGAAAAGAGCCATTGAGTGCATTGGATTTACAATTGGAAATTGTAATTGGACTTACACAGTCTTGATAAGAGAAGACTCATGTCAGATCTTATCTGTGTGTCTAAATACCTGATGGGAGGAACTTCTTTACTATGAGAGTAACTGACGACTGGAACAGATTGCCCAGAGAGGGTTTGGAGCCTCCATCCTTGAAGATACTCAAAACCTGACTGGGCAAGGTCATGAGCAGCCTGCTCTAGTTGACCCTGTTCTGAGCACGAAACCAACCAGATCATCTCCAGAGGTCCCTTCACACCTCAACTATTTTGTTGATTATGTGAAAATTAATTTTCTTAAGATTTGAAAAAAAATTCTAGATTTTATTGCCATCTACATAAATCAGCTTTTAAATTTAGATGCGCTGCTGTGATAAATGGATGAAACGTAAGGTAAATGTGCTGCAGGGTTGAAAAGTGCAGTGATTCAAGTTGTAAAGCTTCTAGTATGAGGATTCTAGTACCTTTGGGAGGATTTATTATTCACTAGACAGAAAACAGAGTTCAGAGATGTGTGTGGTAGAAAAAAAAACAACAAAAAAAGGACAGAAAATTGTGCTTCCACCTGAACTGAATTTCTGATCTTCCAGTGTTTTGTAGAAAGGACATCTTTTAAATGCTTTCAGTGAATTTACAGTAGAATAAAACTTGGTTCTACTCTGGATGCTCTTGTTAGTGTCTGGGCATCTGATGTGTCTTTCTCAGAACTGTTTTTACTAACGTTGCTGAAGATTTAGCTCTTTCTTCTTGTATTTTAACAGCAATTTTCCTCTCATAAAAGAGAAACTAAACTTTTGTGAACTTTTTATAGCCTGTCAGAAGTTGTTGAGGCCTCTGCTGTGAATATTTATTGAGTTCTAGCTGTGGATTTTTATGTGTATGTAGTTTATTACATTTCTGTATCTCTGCCTTTCAGCAAGAGCACTTCCTATAAAGAGGGTTATCTTGTGCTATAGTTGTATATTTCAAAAATAGGGAGCCATCTGTAAGATGCATCTTGGCATTATGTTGGTGGGTTTTTTTAACTTTTAAAATTCCTTCTGAAGAGAAGATGCATGTTAATCTTACTGTTCCTGTGCACAGGGTTTTTTTCACCTTGGTATCTGTGTGCAGAAAATGTTTATAGGGAGGCATCCAGAATACACTTAAATTTGTGATAGCTGTAACTGCAGAGATCTCTTTTTTTATCACCAGTCTTGACACTGCTGTTTTATATCTGTGTATATCTTATATGTATATAGTATGCATTTTGTAATTGTGTTGAGAGTTATTTATCTAAATACAACATTTATATCAGATGCTCTTTCTCAAATATATTCACTGTGTTGAGATTAACAAATTAGCAAAGTCCCGCTGTCAAATTAGGAAATGCCAGGCAATGAGTTGCTCAGGTAAACTGAATTCTTCCCCTTTGTGGATGTATTTTGTGAATCTTTAGATGGGCTTCCTCTGGGATACTCTGGTCTTGTTTTGTGAACTGTAAGGACAGTAATCATGGAGTGAAGTAACTGCTATGTTTGTGTGAAAAAAAAACAACCAACCAAAACCAAAACAAAATGAAAACCAAAAATTCTTCACTGAGCAATTCCAGTTTTCTGTTACTGTACAACCAGTCCACCTCTGTACTAAGTATTCTTGTCTGTTCTTTTTGTGTGTGTTCATCACTGCTGTTCAAAGGTGAATAACAAGACAAATAAGACTTTCTTCTATCACTTACTGAATGGGCTGAAAAGCAAAGACTGGATCTTGGCTGCCTTATTTTTTCATCTCTAGTCTCTAGAAAAAAAAAAATGAAATCTGAAAGCATAACTCCAGTTTACTTATTGGGTATGATTGTTCTGATTGAATTCTGATTCTGTGAAATAAAAGATGATGATTAGTTGAGGATTATGGTTGTACATCCTTGTTAGGTAACTGACTTCAGGTAGCATGAGCAAGCATACAATAAAAGAGAAAATAAGATATTTTTAATTTTTTTTTGCCTTGGATACCCATACACTTCAGGAGTTCATAAAAATGTGTTTGATTGGAAATGAGAAAAGTGATATATAAGTGGTGTTAATGGAATGCAGACACTTACCTGATTCCTAATTTTAACAAGCCTCACAAAATTTATATGTAGCTAGCATTCTGGCTAAAACAACCACACACGAACACTGAGTATTTTCTTTTTCTATGCAGTTTATCATAGGCAGAACACAGAAATATCTGGAGAATGAGGTGTTGTTTTTAAAGTGCCGTATTAGCTGACACTAAAGTTGGAGAGGAGGCAACCCATAATCAATATTTTATGGCGTTGCTAGACGTACTCTTAACTAGACTTTCAGAATGGTTTAACTTGGAGAATTTCATCCTGACAGAGAGGGATTTTTCTATAAAAGCTATAGCACAAAAGACAATATATACTTAAAATGTATCCAGTAACAAAGCGGGTTGGCTACCATATCTGAAGTACAGAGTTATTTTAACTTAAACTTCCAATTTGCAAAGCTTAATTAAAGAATATTTCTTTTGTGTGTGCTTAGGGAAGGCAGAAAATGTTATATTAGTTGAAGGAAACTTGTATTAAGGTAACTAAAGTGGTTGACTTACTGCATCTGTTCCTAGAGAACTAATTTACAGGAAAAACTAAACTAACCTTTTTTTTAAAGAAGTCTTCTTCCTACTTCATATTCATTTCTCTCTTAAAGCCAATTTCCAAAATTCTGTAAGCAGTTTTGCACTAATCAGTATGATTTCTCATCTCTTATGCTGCTTTCTCTCCCCTTGGAGGGAACACTTGAGAATCCTGTTCCTTCCTTTCTGCTGAAAGACATGACATAACCGATTTTTAGTTCTAAAGAAAATTAAATAAATTATCAGCTGAAATCTGTCACCGGTTCACCAGCCAGTTTGTTGAAACATTTCTTTGTCTTACTACCCTTCCTTTAATGACAAATTGAAAATGACTCTGGAGTTGTCACTATAATAGTGTTTTGATAGTGCTATGTGAGTATTAGCTATTCTTCTGTGGAAGTAATTAAGTTCTCAGTGAAGATGATGCACTTTTGACAGTGTGGAGGTAGTAAGAAATTTTAGTTCATTTTAAATTTATAGCAATACTAGCAGCGGAAATGCTACAGTTTACACACCAACTGAGTGCTCTTCATAAAGAGAGAGTGCTGTCATGTTTGAAACATAACTGAAGTGGCAGAAATTTATATACATATTGCCCTGCTATGCCTGCTATTGCTGAACTTTCAGCTCTGCAGAACTTCATTTTGCTGAGCTCTTTTTATTAAAAAAGCCTTATCGAGATGACATAGCTGAGTTCTCTGCTGGTCTAAGTTTTTGCAAGTTTAAAAAACAAACAAAAAACCCCACCAAAACCCCAGGTACCCTTAGTTTTTTATATGTTAAAATTTAACTTTGAAGCCTTATGTCAGAAGATCTAAAATTTTCTTGTGGATTTTTAGTACAGGAGATAGCTGAATAAAGGTCTTGAGTGTCCTATCTCTGCTTTGTGGCGTAACTAAAATTTCTCAGGAGAATGAGGCTTATATAATCATATTACATTCTTTTCTTTATCAGAGTTGCTGGGGAAAGTAGAAAGCTATCTATTGTGTTACATGTGGCTAAAAATGGCTGTTGCATGCAGATGTTAAACTTTTACGTATTTCCTAGAAATAGATGCCTAACTACAGAGAACAGCTCGATTAATGGCTTTGCTTAGGGGAGGAATAAAATATGTGCTTAACCTTTTGTAGACAGCAGAAAAATCAATTTTCTGTTCATTTTTCTCGTCTCTGAACTCTCTGGTAGGTACTGATAAGAAAATGTGCTGCAGTCAGATTAAGTGAGGACATAGTTCTGGGGCTCATGGAATGACTGCTGTTTCTTAACACAGCATAGCAACAGCCAGGGGAAGGTAGGGGCCAGATTTTACCTCCTTACCACGAGAAAAAATAAAGAGATGGACCGAGTTCTCGTTGGTTTTGAAAGCATTAAAGACAGCAAAGTGTGTTTGTTGTAACTGAGCGGATGTTTCACTTTCTTTGATGTGTCCATGAATAATTTGTTATTTGAATCCTGTCAATGGCAGATGGCAAACTGATCCTATCAGTCTGCTATACAGTGCAGCAGAGGACATTCATTAATACCACAGACCTAGTCTGTATTTTGATCTATTGTGTTGCAGGCCAATATCGCTTGAATGATTCTAGAGGAAAGGTAAAAAAAAGGATCATTTTGGGGAAGGGTGCTGTGTCAGCATTTGGAAACAGTGTATTTGGAGAAATCTGTCAGATTACAGTGGAAATAATATCACCTGTGTGGATTGTTTGTTTCAGCTTTTGTCTTCGTCTTTCTTTAGATCTCAGGACACCCACGGACCAGAACTGATACTACCTGCCAGTATTGAATTCAGGGAAAGCTGTGAGTAAATGGTGAAGCTGTAACACTAACCTGTTGACACGTTCTTATATTGTGTAATACTTCAGTCAGTTTGAAAACTTAAAGATAACTTAACTTAAATAAACATTGAAAAGAATAGTGACTATAAACAGATGATAGCTAATCCAGTAATATACTTTATTTTGTTGGGGAGGGTGAACAGACACTTTGAGTATTGAGGCAGATTTAGGCATATTTAATTCTAGTTGCATTTCAGTTCTTCAGATACTCAAATTTAACTATGAAAAAATTGTTAATCCCACCTCCTCATCAGTGCATTGAATTAATTCTCTTCTATACAGTTCTCCATGCCTTGGATAATAGATTGAATCCTAGTAAAAAACTATTTTATATAAAATCTGATTAATTTTTTAAATTTTTGTTTAGGATTTAATTTTTTGTTGCTTTGGTCCCCAGGTTTTTAAGGTCTCAGATCTGGTAGAAAATACCATACCAAAGATTGTCTCGACTTCAAATATTTGAAACTAATTAGATTAGTGATCAAGAAAAGACAATGTTATTAGTATAAAATTCCCTATAATAAGGGAGCTTTGTAGGAATAGAATGGACAAGGGAAACCTTGCAATTTATGTTCCCTTGAAGATGCAAGTTTTCAGCAGAGAGTTAGGAAATAGTACAGAAATGTTTCCTGATTATCAGATTTTCCAGCTTTATATAGAAGCATGTTCTTACTGTGCTTAAGCAACTGTAGTACATAATAAACAGTTTAGAGATCAAATTCCTGTAAGCTCCTCCCCTTTCCTTTCCCCACAAAGAAAATCCTTTGTGCCTCAAGTTACAAAATTGTGTTATTTCATTTTCTTTCTGTCTTTGGATTTATGAGGTGTTTCCCCCCCTCCCCCTTTCTCTACAGCTGAAGATGCCTTCTTATCTGCCATTATAAATTACACAAATAGTTCGACAGTTCATTTTAAGCTGTCGCCTACCTATGTTTTGTATATGACATGTCGGTATGTATTGTCCAGCCAGTACAGACCTGACATCACCCCTACTGAGCGCACTCACAAAGTCATTGCAATAGTCAACAAGATGGTGAACATGATGGAAGGAGTGATACAGGTGAGTTTCTCTGCAAAAACATGTCAAGGGAATTACATTCATCTTGTAGATTATCTAGTAAACCTCTTAGTCTTTTTCTGGGTGTTTAACTGACTGTTGTTAAGGGTCAGACTAATACCTGCATTGATTGCCCGTATGAAGGTTTGCTTTTGTGTCAATGGGAAATGTGAGTGGTAAGCAGCTCTCCTGAGCAGTTTGGTAGGTTAGGGAGAGGCTGTTGCTCTGAAGATATGTTCTCTGACAAGAAGTTACTCTTCTGTTCTCTAGAAGGTAAGATCTTTGCAAGTGTTTCTGGCTGTGAGCTCTTGTAAAACAAGTTGTATGTGCTTATTAAAGAATAGCATATAGATAGCAGTTGTTTTCTTGAAGGGAACATACTAAAAAGAAACACAACTTTTAAATTCTGATCCCGTTGCTTTTACAGTCTTTGTAACCACAAAAATGGTAACAAAACTGGACTTTTTGAACACAGTTGTGCCAAAGCTGACACAATGGCTTTATAAAGAGCTTTATAAAGAGAAATAAAAGTTCTCAAATGTTCCAGCATCTTGTATGTAGTCTGATGCTATTGTTGTTACATGTGCAAGACAGCTACAGAAGCACAGGAGGAATTCTGTTTTGTGGGGGAATACAGGATAAAGTCCACTGGGTTGTCTGTGAAATTAGACAATGCCTTGCATTGTGTAACTGTAGATAAAATGTAAGTAATTTCCTGAAAAAGGAGTGCTAGTTCACGTACCGTCACTAAATAATTAATTACTGTAACTTCTTTGTTGGCAGATTTTTCTCAGAGGAAAAAAAAAAAGCAGTATATTTCTGTAAAATATTATATTAAAACATTTTGTTGCAGAAGGTACGGCCATAGTAGCCCATATAGAGCAAGGACCCTGCTGTGCTAGGCACTGTACGAGTGTAACAAACACCTCAGTCCTGCTTAAGACAATTTACAGTGCAAGTGCTATACGGTGGGCTGGTTAAGGGAGAAAAGTAAAGTAAACTACAAGAGTGGCATGAAAGTCACAGTAAACCAAAACTGTTCAGCTTCTGTTTTAGGTTTTGGAAAGATTTTGTGGAGTTTTCAGTACAGAGAATGTTGTATTTAGACAGCTCTGTAAATGGTTATAGCGGGGACCTACCTTTCATAAGAAAGAGTAAGAGAAAAAGCCAGTACTGAAGACAATATACAGTAAAAAAACAGACTAACCTTTCATGTATGTTCTGATGCTGATGAGGTGCTGAAAGGTGGTTTGAATCTTAAATTAAGAACTAGTACATTGCTTTGACTCTTGATGATGGCAAATGGATATTTTATAAAGTTGAAATGATATCAGAAGTTAAATATTCAGGTTCTGCTATTAAAAAAAGTCTGGCTGTGGAACAGTGAATTTGTTAAAGTCAAAGGGGGAGACTGTGGCAGTAGTGGAGAATGTGAAATGCAAAAAGCCTTAACATAAGCAATTTAATTGGGAGAGTGGAAAGTAAACAATGAAAGGGTAGGCTTCAAATATAATTTGGAAGTTACAGGACTGAAACAAAGTTGCTTGGTTTATATAACTAATGTAAACTAGTAACAATGACCCAAAAAAGATTTGAGGTGGCAGGGATGGGTACAGTGGGAAAGCAAAGATAAAGTTCTGCATTCTTTTTGTTGAACTGGAATGGATAACCACGGAGCTGCTAGATGATACTAGAGAGGTGGGCTCAAACATCAGTTTGATTGCAAAACAAATCAAAGCTAGAAAGTTGATTATCCTGGGAAAACATTAATTTACAGCACTGAGGAGGGCTTCCCAAATCAAGTCCAGCCTTGTGGTTACAAGCAAGTGTATTTTACATAATCCTGCTAATATTATTACAGAACTGTTAAAACCGAGTGTTTGCCTGGACTGTCCTTTGTGAAAGGCTGTTTCTACAGCCTGCAACTCTATAGTTGCAATCTCATCTCCATTCTAAAATTTAAGGAAGACATCAACTAGGAAAGTGGTAGCTGCATTTCCAGTATGTGAAGGACATTATCTCGTTGCAAGAAATAAACTGGGGAGAGTTGGAGGTTGAAGAAAATTGGGAGGAGGTTCTTCCAAATGTCAGTGGGAAATTACAAATGTGATGAACGTAGAAGTTCAGTGAATTTGAAGGTTAATGGGCTGGAGACAAAGAAGTGCAGTGATTCTAAAGCTTGACCAGGAAAATGTCATTATCTTGGACCTGTCTTAGTAGAGTGTAAAGAGTACTGGCTAAGCTAAATCAAATTACTTCATCTAAGCTGTGGAATGAGTGGTTATAATGAACGTGTTAAAGTGCCATGTAATAAATCACTGTATCACAATAGCTTTTTGGTATGTCTTGACTGTAAAGCATGCCTTCACTGAAAGAGATCTGAGGGTGTGAAAGGAGAAGACAAATGGGACGCAAGGGGAGAGAGACACCCAAAACACAAGTAGAGGGAAGTACACAAATGCTAGTGCTGTACTGTGGGAGTAAAATAAATTGTTGAGATTCTAATTTTGCCTGCCTAGTTCATAAGGAGACTTGATACTTTCTGAAGTTACTCAAGAAGTACTAGCTAACAAATTAAATCTGTGGCTTCTGTAGTCTTTGCATTAGTGTATGCAAATATTAGAGAAGATTTCATATAAGGATAAAATTGGAGAGCTCTATGAGAAGGCTCAGTGCTTTCAATAGAAATCTAGGAATAGAAACTTAATTCATATAAAAAAGCCACTTTTTTTGTATCCTGATTTTTTTCCCAAAAATTTGGTGACACTTCTTATCCTCTGCAAGTTTTAACACTTGTTTGTAGAAGGAGCATTTCCTTTCATTCTGCGCCAACACCTCTTCAGACAGTTCAGAATGCCTTGGTTGGAAAGGGAGAAGAAACAAAAGCCGTGGCAATTCTGTTTTTTGACCTCTAAGATTACAATGGTAACAGCAGTGACACCTCAAATTTTGGCATTTAAGCTCACTCTGTTGCAGATATGGGAGAGTGGTCTGAATAGAGAAACAAAAAGGAGTAAGTAAGAGCTCAATTTTAGATAATTAGACAAACATATTTGGGGTTATATTTTTTTCTGCTTAACTCAGTGTAGCTTTTATGTACCAGCATTTAAGCACCTTAGTGTGGTAGTATTTCATTTGACTCTTTTGTTGTTTTAAAGAATCTTTCTGTTCTTTAATTAGCCATGTATTAAATCTGTTCTAGGTGTGTTATGGTTTTTGTTTGATTTTGTTTGTTGTGTTGTTTTGTTGTTGTTGGTTTTTTGTTTTGGTGGGGATTTTCTGTCCTCCTTTGTGTTTGTTTGTACATTGTCTTCATTGCAGCAGTGTGGGCAAATAGCTCCCTCGATGTTATTTGGATGGCTACTTACCCCATTGCCTGCAAAAAGTTGTGTGGGGTTTCTGTGATGCACTGAGCATGGAATAACCACCTAGTCTGGGATGTCAACTAGTCCAGGGCATTCCTTGAATTAATTGTGACACGTGGGCACTTCAGTTCTTAGCTGTTGTGCTACTGGTCCTATTAATTTGTTGTTTTGTGTTTTTTTTGTTTTTTTTTTAAAGGGGCTCAGTTGCATCGTAGCTACTGATTAATGCATCTGTGTATAACTGTGATCATAAGTGTTGTACCTTCATATTTAGTGTTTGATTTCTAAAGCTATCATGATTGTTCACAAGTTTCTTTCTTCTATTCTGTTTGATTTCCTTCGTCCGTTTTTCTCCAGGAGGTAGACCAGGTTGATCAGGTAGGATATATTGCTGGGAACTGATCCTAGCTATGTTGGCTTAGCTCAGTTTCTCATGCTGCTTCCATATCAAAATACAATACTCAAACAGCTGGACTTGAACGGTTCATAACACTCATTCAGCAACTGGAACATGCAGTACTAAAATCCTTTTTTGACTTTGCAACTTTTACGGCATTCCATAATTTCTGCTTAACGCACTTCAATGTGGATATGAAATGACCAAAGTTCTTTTTTCTTCCCTTTATTTTCTTTTTTTGTTGTTTGTGGTTCCTATTCTTTGGATTTCATCTGAGGTTGCCTGGCCTGGCATTTGTGGTCGGGAGATGGTGAGATAGATCAGTACTTGATACTGAACCACCTGGTGTCAAAGCCAGTGAGCGCAGTATCAGGGTGGCAGCGGGCAGTAGTGAATATGCGCTTAAAAGTGCACAGATTACCAGATACTGCATTCCACTAAGCTCTTAGCACTGTATGATGAGATGCTTATGCCGTGGCTTTATTGATATGGCTACTGGCAGTTTAACAGAATTTTGTATGTTCAGTGAATGTGTTAAAATTGAACTTGGCAGTTACGGCAACTGCAATATTACTCGTAAACATTTTGCAGTTATCTGGTATCTGAGATATGTTTGGTGAAATAGGAGAAGGTACTGGTCTATCTTTTGGAGCCTTTTTAAGCTGCCGTGCTTTATTAGAAAACTCTTGCCCTGTATTATTTCTTGCTTCTTTTCTACTTACAGAAACAGAAGAATATTGCTGGGGCACTTGCCTTTTGGATGGCAAATGCATCTGAATTACTGAATTTCATAAAACAAGACCGAGATCTTAGCCGAATTACGGTGGATGCACAAGATGTTTTGGCACACTTGGTTCAAATGGCATTCAAGTAAGGCTATCAGACTTCTGTTTCACTTAATTTTGCCAAATTTTAGGTATAGCAATAGTGTCTTTTGTGTATTGTTAAATATCTGAGAAGAGGACTCATAGGTTAGACTTACTACTTCAGCTAGATAATTTATATTATGAACATGGATCACTGGACTATGCTAGGAATTTCATCTGTTGACAAGCCTCAGTTATCACAAACTACAGCTAGTGAAAATCTTAGAGAAATGTTATTTAAATTTAGTTTGTGTTGATTGCTTTCTTTTAATTTAAGGTTTTTATGGAGGTATGGGGAAAGGTTATTTTTGCTGTTAATGTATAAATGCACAGGCTTAAATATTTATGGGTCTCTAAAGTAACAAACCTTGCACTCTTCAAGGGCTTCTAGCTATATTCATGATCTGCTCCTTTCATAATTCACATAAATAGCAATTTGCACAGTGGTTTTTTGCACAGTTTTTTCTTAAAAACATAAAGACAAGTTTTGGCTTGGGGTGAAATCAACCTATGCTAGTCAGCTCAGGTAATTACAATGCTGTTAAAAAGAAAAATTGAATGAAGTATCCATGGGAAGGGAAGTCCTCTGAGAGGCAGATCCTGGAGCAGGAAGGAAAGGCTTAAATTTTGTATGTATTTTCTTCCCCCAGGCCAATATTGACCAATTTTTTCTTAGCAAATTTGTGTCCCTGAAATTAATGTTTAGAGAAGTCGCAATGTACCTTGGGTAACTTATACCCAGCCTTCCCCGATTTGTAGGATGTCTATTTTACATACAGTCTTTTCATACTTCTGTAATAGCACAGAATATAATCTTTACTTTTGTATCATGTCAAGACTGGGAGACCTAACCGTGGTTTAACTGTTGAGCTTTAAGGAGGGCTGTGTTGCTCTAAAGAGCAACATGTAGTATGTGAATGTGGTATGTGAAACCATACCATCACTTTCTCAACTTCTGAAAGGTTGAGAAGCACCAAACCACTTTGTATGCACTCACACAGATTTATTTTTTTTCTGTTGGTGAATTATGAGAAAATAAGGTATAGCAAGTAACTAATTTGACAGTCTTTCAATTTTTATAGCACCTCTATATGAATGAAGCTATGGCATTTTGCCACAGATCAGTGTTTTAAAATTGGTGTCTTGAAACAAGTCTTTGCTACTTCAGTTTGCTAGATAGTCATTGAAGATAGAGTATTTCTGTGGCTGGGAAGGAATGGCACTTTATTTTTCCCTGTACATGATGAACAGACTGGATGCAAAAGGGTGTTTCTGAATTTTAGCTGTGTGTGAATTCTCCCCCAAGTACACTCTAACATGGAAGATTTCAAATGGATCTATTAAACTTTTGGAGAACAGAACTGTGAAATACACATTTAGAAGACATATAAAAAAAGCACAACATAAAGCAAAGCATGAAAGAAAGAAATCTGCTGTGAAAATGTTATTTGATGGTAACAACTCATGTACACCAGAAATTGTTGAAATTGCTATGGCTTTTGTTTCCTAGCAGTTGAAGGTATTTCATTACAAATGTTATCAGTGAAACAGAAAGGAGTTCTAAAAAGCCATAAAAGGTTTTCCTTTCTATATATGATTAAAGTTTGATTCCCTTTTAGTTTCAGTTCTTAACAGAAAATGTATAAACAAATTATCAAAAACAGTGTTAAAGAAAATGTTTGATTATTAGAAGAGAGAAAAGACTAAAACAGGCTTTGCATTTCACTGTAGCTAAAAGTAAGAGAAATAAAAGAATCAAAAAAATTGTTTACACAGAACACAATGGACATTTCAGGATCTTGTGCGTTGGCTTAGAATAGGATTTTTTTAAAATACTACTCTTAGTAGATTTTAAAACAGAGAAAAGTAGGGTTTTTTTGGGGGAGAAAAAAAAAGTTTCAATCTTACAGAACCGAAGTTTGGCCTGACAGCATCTCTTTATGTAGTGTATGACCTTTACTTATAATTGTGGTAGCAATATTGCATTTAAGTGCCTGTTTTTTTTTTCTGACAGCCTAATTATTTTTCTAACGTTTCTAGGAAAGTTATGGGAGAACTGGTCTCTCTGGTGTTTTAAAATGTGTAATTTGGTTCCACTATGGTCACGTATATAACACTGTGATTTCAAGAATCTTGTAATTTGGTAGACCTCTCTTCTTTAGAAGCATTCATAAGGAACATATTACAGGATTTTAAAAATGCCTTTTTTTTTTGCTCCTAACTTCCAGGTACCTGGTCCACTGTCTGCAGTCAGAGCTCAATAACTACATGCCAGCATTCCTTGATGATCCAGAGGAAAATAATCCTCAGAGGCCTAAAATAGGTTGGACTACTAGATCTTTTCTTGTGTCTTCTAAACCATACAATTAATTAGAAATAAGCAGTTTTTCTTAACAGTGATACAACATTTGCAAGTTGTGTTAACCCCTGAGAATTGTTAGGATCAATTTTGTATGGATTATGCAAAAGGACAGTAGTGACATTCAGACGATCAATATTTGGCTTAAAAATCATGGAATAATTTAGTTTGGAGGGGAACCTCTGTATGTCATCTGATCCGGTGTCTTGCTCAAGGCAGGTGCAACTGGATCAGGTTGTTCAGAGTGTTGCCCAGTTGAGTTTTGAATCTCCACTGAAGAATGGAGATGCCACATCTCTGAGTAACCTGTTCCAAAGTCTGATCACCCTCATGGTGAAAATACTTTTCCTGTATCTTACTGGAATTTTCCATGTGGCAGTTTTTGTGTTGGTTTGTCTGCTGTTCTATGCTATCACCGTGCACCTTTGATAGGGATCTTGTTTTGAACTCTCCCATTAGGTAGATGAAGACAGCAGTAAGCCGTGCTCCTAGCCTCCTCTAATGAACCAAATCCACTTCTCTGTTCCTCTTTTATGTCCTTTTCTCTAGCCCCTTGATGATATTGGTGGCTTTCTGCTGAATTTGCTCCATTAAATTGGTATCTTCCTTGTGCTGAGGAGTCTAAATCTGGACGCTGCGCTCCAGATGCAGTCTCACAAATGCTAAATGCATAGGAGGGATTGCTTCCCTCCCTCCTACTAGCTTCCCTACTGCTGACTTAACAGCTTAGTGTGCAACTGGCTACCTTTCAACTAAGGGCACACTGCTTAATCACATTCAACTTGATGTTTACCAGGATCTCTACACCATTTTCAGCAGGGCTGCTTTCTATCCAGATGGCATCCAGTTTATACAGCTGCATAGACTTACTCCTTCCCAGATGCAGGACTTGACAGTTGCCTTTGAACTTTCTGGATTCCCCGACAGCCCATTTCTCCAGCCTACTGAGGCCCATCTGAAAAATACTGCTGTCCTTCAGTGTAGCAGTATTTCTGCACAGCCTGGTATCATCTTTGAATTTGCTGAGAGAGCACTCCATCCAGTCACCCAGGTTGTTAATAAAGTCATTAAACAGTATCAGTGCCAACCTCAGTCCATGAGGAAATGACTAACAGCAGACTGCCAGCTGGACTTCTATCCACAAATCCACTGAGTCCAGTGGTCCAGCCAATTCTCTACCTACATTATCATCTGTTTCTCCAATCCTGTGTCAGCAATTTCACTATAGGGATGCTATGGGAGAATCTGACAAAGTATCTTGCAGGTACTAAGGTAAAGCTGACTGGCCTTGTAGATTCCTGCCAAGGGTCCCTGCCATGATACTTTAAGTATGACAGTGCAGCAGTGACACCCTTCCTAGGTTGTTCCTGTCCATGAGAGCGTTCCGGTCGTGTGTGCTGTCCCAACTACATCTGTAATCCCAGCTTGGTGACTGTGCTCAGGCTTCTAATGCCTCTTACTGTTTTCCATGCTGAACACATTCACGCACAGGCCCCTGAGATAGGAGCCTTCATTGTGCTTTCATGGTGAAAGTGAGAGGCTCCTACATTATGTAGCCTGATGACTGAAGAAGAAAATGGGAAATGTAAAAGATATTCAAGTTGGAAGGATTAACTAGGGATAAAAGGTTAGGAAGAGTTAAGAAGATAGTGCCATTCTGAATAATTGAAGTAAAGATGATCTGCAGAGCTATTAAGTAGAGTCATTCTGTTCAGCTATGAAAAGTATTTATACAATACTCATATATACTTCATAGTCTTTTGGGTATTAAGCTTGCTGCAATTACTTTTTTCCTGTGTTGAACATTGAGGAAAGAATATAAAGAGGTACTATTTTGGTTCTGGTGCCATGTACTGTAAGAGAACTTTCTGGAACACAGACCCTGAAAAAGTAGCAAACTGCCACTGGAACAAAGGCAGATGACGTTCATTATTTCAGTTATTTTTGATCTGCTTTATAGATTTCTGTCTTACACAGATTTTTTTTTTTTTAGTTACAATCCTGTGTTTCAATGCTGAAGGAATTAATTTGATGGTCTCTTCAAGAGAGATTTCAGATAAAAGTATTTTCTTAAAAGAAGGCTTGGAGATGGATGTTCTAGTTGCATTAATATATTGCAGCTGGAAACATATAAGGATGTTTGCTCTTGGTGAAGCTAACAAGAAGACCCTGTTGCTTCATATTGCAGTGAACTAATGGGCAAAAGGAAATTCGAGTAATATTTTTAAAAACTAATGTCTAAACAAGAGAGACATACTGCAGTTTTAAGTATATCAGTACATCACACAATGCAAATAGTTTTTGCTGAAATTTTTGAATACAGTTTGATATTTAGCTTCAAGGAGCTGTGGACTAATTGCAATATGCATTTGAAACAGTATAATACAAAGTTTTTAACTTGTTATTGAAAATAACAAAAATTAGTTTACTCAAGTAAACTTGAGTATTGAGTATATCTGACATTGAAGTGTCAGATATAGCCAGTGATATACTTTTATACTAAATATTTCCCCAAAAGAATTTATTTTCATTTCAGGAGTTAAAAAACATATTTCAGCTGTCGATTTAATGTTGCTCTATCTTGAAAAACATGAAGCAGTACATTTATTTCTGAAAGTCTGTATAACTAAAATACATGTAGGTTCCAGCTAGCATTCTCCAACCAGGGTTAGATGTCGCTGTATTATTGTTCTTTATGTCCTAAACCAGTTGTACATTGCAGTATGTGAATGAGATTTACTCTTTGTTTTATCTCTGTAGATGATGTGCTGCATACATTGACTGGAGCAATGTCCCTCTTGCGACGATGTAGAGTGAACGCTGCTCTGACTATACAGCTCTTCTCCCAGCTGTTTCATTTTATCAACATGTGGCTTTTCAACAGATTAGTCACGGCCCCAGATTCAGGGTTATGTTCACATTATTGGGGAGCTATCGTTCGTCAGCAGTTGGGCCATATTGAAGCCTGGGCAGAAAAACAGGGTTTAGAGTTGGCTGCTGATTGCCACCTGAGCAGAATAGTGCAGGTGAGTGTGTGTGCTTCTGTTTAACACTTCTCACACAATTGTATATTCAAAGAGAATATTGTATATTCTGTATTCCTGGAGAGTTGCATATGCACACATGTAGTTTGTGTGAATCACTCCTGGAACATTGAGGTAGCATGTAAAGACAAAACATGTTTTCAAGATCATTAATATTTAAGTTAGAAATGAAATTAATAATTAGTGATTTTAGCCAACATGCAGTTTAGTTTCTAAGACTGTGCTGTAACTATGCTGAACAGAGACAAGAAGAATGTCTAAAAATTTATATGCCTCATTTAATATTTATTAGTTTATTGTTATTATTTAGTATAACTATTTTAGTATTAGTTCATCTTGTAGGTACAGGAGAAATATTTAGAGGTTGTTTTGGAGATATTTATTTTGCTTCCGTAACAAGTCTGCCTTCTTTCTTGGTCTTTTCCTATCTCTCATCTTAAAGAAAACTCAGAAATAAAGCTTAAAGTTTCATTCTTGGTTGGATTTGTCTCCTATGACTTCTTTTTCTCCTCTCCTAGGCAACCACATTGCTTACCATGGACAAATACTCACATGCAGATGTTCCAAATATTAACAGTACTTGCTTCAAGCTGAATTCTCTGCAGCTACAGGCTTTGTTGCAGAATTATCACTGTGCTCCAGATGAACCACTTATCCCAACAGTAAGTCTCTTCTATCACTTAATGTGTTTCACATACCTGAGGAATATAAAATTAAAATAAAACACTTGCTGAAAAGAGCTATCTTACTGTTGATTGGTTTGGAATTGTTACGAGGAGTCAGAGTGGGCAATCTGCGCTTAATATAATAAGAAGTATCGGTGGTATCAGCTTACTTCTGGCCACTAACTTTGGGTGTACTTCAGCTGCAACTTGAGGAGGATATTATCAAAAATCTCTCTTACACAGAGTTGGAATGTAAGGTAACACTGCACGTTGAGCAGACTCAGATATCACTGCAGCTTACACCATTTGTGGCTGAAATCCAGTAAGGCAGTAAAGGAGAGGTGCACAGAGCACTCCTAAAAGCTAGTTCTTTGTATAACTACAAGGAGCAAAGGTTGAAATTTTGACTATAGAAATGAAATGAAAGAAGCAGGAACACTAAGCTGTTCTACATGTATTTAATCAAATAAAGCAATGCAGTGTACTGACTGTACATAGTGGAGCCAAAGGAGTTTTATGTCTGATAACCTGTTTTCCAAATTCCTTTTTCATGCAGTTTCAGTGTTTTCTTAGTGTTAGGTTTTTTTCATTAATTAAAATGATCCCTTTATAGTAACAAAGTCTTTCTGCCTTCTATCCAGGAATTGATCGAGAACATAGTAACTGTCGCAGAAAATACGGCTGATGAACTTGCTCGCAGCGATGGCAGAGAAGTCCAACTGGAAGAGGACCCTGACTTACAGCTGCCTTTTCTTTTACCGGAAGATGGCTATTCCTGTGATGTTGTCAGAAATGTTCCAAGTGGTTTACAGGAATTCTTAGATCCGCTCTGTCAGAGAGGTTAGTTCTTCTGTTTTACAATTATCATAATTTTTTTTCTGTGCTGAACATGGAATACAAAATCTATTTCAGTTAAATGTAAACCACTTTCTTTATGTATATTTCAATCTTTTTATAGTGCAACCCATAAAAAGCATGCAGGATTTTCTTAATCCTTACTCTTTTTCTCTCTGTCCATTTCATTCACTTTCAAGGTTCTAAATAAGCGATGCTGAGTTACTAGTGCCTCCTGAAATGTTGTTTTGCCTTTGCTCCAGAGCTTTTTTGGATTTTGGTGCTGGAGCAGCAAAAAGTTACATAAATGTAAATTTCGTAATACTCCAGCAATTTCACAGTCAACTTAATTTTAAAGCTAATGTATTAACTCACGTAGTTAACTTTTCTTTACTCATCAGCTGCTTCTATATAACAGTAAAAGAACTACTTTTTAAGCTCGTGGTTTTTTTAATGTTCACTGATGTAAGAATGTATGATTTGGGCATTTATATTTCAAAAAAATTTCAGATGATAAGTAGAGAGCTCTTCTGGTTAGTGAAAGTTACTTAAACTTGAAAAAGTAAAGCAGGGTTTCCCTCAGAGCATTTCCAGTGGATGACCAAGTTACGATCTTTATCTCATGCTACTCAATTTTATTAGAAGCTTTTTTGTTGCATAATTTTTTACTAATTATCTGCTTAAAAAGCAGTTGTTTAAAAATTTGTCCAGGAACATTATGGTAGGTAGGACAGAAAAGGAGGCTATCAACAAAGCAGACTTACTGTATCCTACAGTGAAGTTTTGCAGTTGTTAGTTCCTACTTGGTGTATAGAAAAGTCATATTCTTGCATTTAAAAAAAATAGTAGGAAACTGACTGTTTGGAGAGTGCAGTGAGTTACAGAGGATGTTGTCTTGAGACTAAAGAAGACTAGTAGAAAAAATTCTTTAGTGAGTAGAATTCATTTGCCATACAAATGTCTGTAGTTATTACAAGTAAGGCCCTTTTAATGCATACTTTCAAAATTTTACTTTTTAGGTATCTCTTAAATTATGCTGAGGTTTGCACTAAATCAGTGTAAATGGAATTGCTGAAAGATGGTCTTTGTGAGGAGGAGAATCCCATCTATTTGAATGGAGTGACTTGTAATTTGACTGTGATGTGCATTCTTACTGTCCCTGATATGGGAGATGATGTTGATACCTTAGCTGCTGTGGCTTCCTTTTTCAAAATTCTAGGAGTTGTTCAATTAACAAAGATGAAATCAAACAAAACTCCACTTTTAATTGCATAATTAAATTTTTAGAAGAACTGAGTCAAGGCAAAGGTTCACCTCTGCCAAATGAATGTGGACACTGGTTAGCTAGACTCTCTACAAAGCAGAAGATTTCTGTGTTGCTGTCCTATTGAGGAGTTCTGGTGGTTTGTATTCTAAAAGTTGACTTGGTATTTCATGTCTCTTTAGAGTCCGGTTTGTACAAACAGTATTTTGCATCCCAGGAGTCTTCTATGAGCTTGCACTACTTCTAAATACACATTTCTCAGAAGCAGCAGCTATAGAACTGTAGGATTTTGTAGCTAGGATGAAATTGCAGTGAAGCACATAACAGCATCTGAGATAGAAGATTCAACATACTAATTAATATAAAAAGACAACTATTGCTATTTAGTATTTCCTTGTGGAAGGTTATTTGATTTTAATTGATCTGTTGAGAAAGTACCATGGCTATGATAATGTTACTTTCTCTTTTAGGTTTTTGTAGACTAGTACCTCATCCACGGTCACCAGGCACATGGACAATATACTTTGAAGGCGCAGACTATGAAAGTCACCTGTCACATGAGAATGCTGAGCTAGTGAGTATTGATTCAGTGAATAATTGTCAAAACTGATACTTGGCAGGCCATTGTTTTATGTGATGAGTTTTAATCCTTATAAGGAAGAACAGGCTTTTTCCATTAGACATGTAGGTCATCAATGATTTGGTGAATTTAAGGAACTATTTGCAGATTTTTTTGTAAGTCCATATTTTTCTAGGCTATGGCATGATGTAATTCTCACATAAGGAAACTTTGTATTCTCTCACCCTGGGGGTAAACAGTGAAGGAATTCCTTTTAAACACAGGCAAAAATATACGTGGACATGCATCTGAAAATAACTTCTAATATGAATAGAGTTGTAGACTGCTTTTATTTATAAACTGACAGTTACCAACTAAATCTTTAGTATTAAGTTGTAATCTGTTTTTTTTTCCTGCTCTGTTTTCAGGAAAAAAATCTTCAGTTTTCATTTTCATTATACTTATTAAAGAAGGGTTTCATTTCAGTGTGAGATGGCTTTTTTCTGCTGTAGGTTTTTTTGTTGTTTTGTGGTTACTTTTTTTGTGGTGGGGTTTTGTGTCAGGATTTTTTTTTAATATGTATAACCAAGAATATAAAATTTACAGAACAGCTTGGTTTTGGAAGGATGGTGGCTTCATGTGAAAACAATTTTAGAGCAACAAAACAGAAATAGCTTCATATTTATAATTAGTATTTCAATGAAATCAGGAAGGCAAACAGTAAAGGAGAATTATGTTCCTGAGGCTTTCTCTGAAAAATACTTTCCCCTTGCTATTCAGAGGGACTTGAAAGCTTCTTTTACTCTGTTTAGAACCTGACACTTGTTCGATGGCATTATGCAGTCTTGCTGCAGTGGTGTAAAAACCATGTTTACTTTACAGTAGAGTGCATCTCCTAAGTCTGTCTGACTGATACAGGAGAGTCCAGTCCTGAACTGATAAGCCAGGCTGTGCAGGCTTGGTATCTTGGTAAATGGGCATTTGACAGAGAAATTTTTGAGACATCATGCTCTTCTTTCTCCCTTTGTTGCTCTAAAGAAATGCATTTTTTAGAGCTAGTGGAAGCAAAAGTCATCTGAAGTTATGCTAGGTCCTTACTGTTCCTCCTACTAAGAAAAAGCTGAAGCAGAGTTCTGGCCAGTCTTCCTTGAAAAGGCTTGATAAAGAAATGCAGGATGAGTGGGTGCTACTATTTCATTCATCTATGGAAATGAATACTGTGTAAGACTGTTCAAATAACCTTATCTAATCATCCTTCTCTCTGGTGCATGCATATTAATTGAATGTGCTAAGCTTAAAAGTCTTTAGTCTTGGTGTCTGAGCAGTGCTCTAAATGCCCATTAAGAAATCACCTGTTGGTGCAACATGTCTACATAATTGAAATATTACATGAATTTTATAGCTGTGAGGTCTCTGATTTTTTTTTTCCTAGCCTGGCAATGAATATGAACTCTTGTCTTTTTTTTCCTCTTTCCCATTCCCTGTTTGATAGGCTCAGCCTTTGAGGAAAGAACCTGAAATTATCACTGTAACACTGAAAAAACAAAATGGAATGGGCCTGAGCATTGTTGCTGCCAAGGTATGGAAGTCAGTTTGTTATTGAAATCGATATTGTTATAAGTGTTATTGAGAAAAAGCTTTTTTTTTCTTAATTTTTATTTTTTTGGTCAGCCTACTGTGGAAAATGTTAATGGGAAAAAAATCTATTTTCTCTAAATTTGCTGGGCACATAATGTTGATCATACTTTTATTCTGGCTGGAGAATGCTTCTGTAAAATACACAGATGTGACCAATACAAGAGGAAACATAATATGGATGTAGTTATTACGGCATTTAAGTTTAAACCTCTACTACAGGTTTACTCATTTTTCAGAGCCAAAAATTGGCACCAATATTAAATGGATTTAATAGACTTATTTAGCACTTCTGAAAAGTAGAAGTATCTAGGAAAGAAAAGAAGTAAATAAAAGAATGAAATGTGTGTATTTTTTTAATTTGATGACTAAATAATTTAAATACATACATTAAAGTTTGTATACTTCCTGTTATGAACACAGCTTATCTTTTGCACAGTGTACAGATGCATGTGTGACTTCAGTTTTGCTTCTTTATAGTAGAGAGCTACACTGTGTTAAGTAGCTTGGTGAAGGAGGGTATACCTCTTGCCCTGCCAAAATTGTGGGTGTATTCCGCTCCTAGTAGCGTTAGGTAGTAATGTATAAAATGCACATACAACTCCAGCCACCAGATGGAGGACTCCACTAGTTGGTTGGTTTTGCTTTATTAACTGGGTCACATACCAAGCACAAGCTTTTGAGTTTTAAGCTTGTTATAAATTATGCAACAGTGATATTCAAAAATCCTTTTTGTAATTGCGTGGTTTACAACAGACAGAACAAGTCTTTCCTAATGTCTCTTCACTGTGTAGTACATGAAACTTCAGAATGCTGTAGTCCTCCTTGGCACTTAGTGCATGGGCTGAAAACGTCGTCGTTTTACTGCTTTTAAAATATCTCACGTAGTTAATTGCTTCTAAACAGCACAATTTTCTTTTCTACAACTTTGCTCATTCCATAGTCTGTTCTTGAAATGGTAATTTTGCATGGCATCAGCTTTTAAGATCGATTTCTGACATCTGTAGAGGAATTCCAGGTGTTAGGTATGTGTTGCTAACAATCAGCAGTTATTGAGAAAACTATTCAGGATCTGAAAAATGTAACTTAATATTCTGCTCTTATTTTGGTGGAGGGGATTCATAATTTGAGAAGCAAATACTAGATCTTGATATATGCCAGATAAAATATGTATCCAACTTCTGACTGCCATCTGCATTTCTGTTCAATGTTTCAAAATGTGCAGTGGAATTTTTTTTTCACTTTAAACTGTGAAATCTGATTTCTCATGAAGAAAGAAGCAGGACATAATGGGGACAAAGTTTTCCTTTTTGCTGAAGCTGGCTGGCTTCTATATGCTGTTTTAACAGCTGACACTGTTAACTGCCATTAGCAGTATGTAACAGTGCTACTGGTCAGTGTGTGACATTGATCTGAAAGTTTTTTTACAAGTTATTTAACCAGTTTCATGATTTCTTTAACATGATCAGTGATGGAAGCAGTGGTCTTCATCTCAGCGCAGTTGCAGAAACACTCACTGGTTCAGGCAGGGATTGCATTTCATCTTGCTGCTGTGTGCCTGCCACAGTGTTGGAATTCTAATTTTAAAACAGTTACATCTTAAATTTCAATCTGAAATAAACAAGAGGCAGATTTTTATTTGAGTTTCAGTGTATATGGAATATACTTTTGCTTAATTTGAATGTTCATTGGATAGAGATAATCGTGTTACTTTAAGTGTTGAAACAAGTTGCTGTAGTAGTTAAATAGGATTATTTTCAAGGAGTTCAAAGTTGCTTATTGCAAGTAATTAATAGCAAGTTGTTCCCATAATAGGCTTCATAGAAACAACAGAGTAAGGAAGAATACACAGGCATTAATTTTCTTGATCTGGTCAGAGTAGAACAGATTAGAGAATTGAGTGATTGTGACTGAGAAGCTAGCAGTAGTGGGTGGATTGTTTTTCTCTTCTTATCTTGTTGGCTTTTTGTAATAATTTTTCCAACTTGTCTCAAGCCATCTATCTTTTACTAACATAAAAATTAAAATTCTCATTTTGTCCTTTGGCTGAGGAACATGGAGGAAGAAGTCACTTCTTAGTCCAGTGACTTGGTCTACGGAGACTGTTTTTTAAAATTTCTAAACATTACTTGGATAGAATACCAGAAATGGGAGAGAGAGAGGGGCAAGTATGAGAGAAGACTGAGGTTTTTCAAAGTTTTAATAGTAAAAAGGTAGCTATCAGATGCTCATATGGTAGTACCTTATAGTTGAAGAAATGAGAGCTCGTACTCAGTTTCAGGAATACGCGGTTACTGCTGCTACGCACAAGATCCCAGTTTGATTGCTGACCCGATTACATTTATTAAGCTATTGGTTTCTGGAGTGCTTCAAAAGTGCCGTAATGAAAGAAAATGCAGCGGCTGGTCAACAGGTGGCCTTGCTCCAACCAGTGAAAGACAACCCTGAAATAATTCAGCTTTGGTTAGGAAAACAGTTGTTTTTTTCCTGTGATGTGACAAAATAGTTGCTTTCAGTAACATGGTGTGAGAATGCCTTTGCATGTCAGTGCTGACCTGCCTTTGTCGTTACGTCTTAACGGGCTCCTCATACTTGTCACTGGCTTCGGATGAAGTAGTTTAAAACCTAAGTTGGTGATATTCTAGAGATGGATGAAGTGGATGGATGGATTCTCAGAGATCATAAAGAAAAATAATTCCTACTGACTGCTCTTCTTCCTTCTACCCATTGCAAAAAATCTGCTCTTTCCATGTAATCTGTGCTCATCTCTGAGGAGACATTAACTAATTTGTCATTTGGTAATTCTTTTGAGTTGTTATTAGTTTGCAGGGTTTTGTAGGTAAATAAAGTCTGTGCTAATTAACAGTTTTTAATGAGGAAATTAGATACCATAACTTACATCCCCCTTCCACACCAAATGTTCGTAATTCCTAAGTGGTTGTCACACCTTCTCTGCTGCAATTGAAAAAGACAATTGGAGTTGAAGCCAAGGTTATACAAGCTGAGAAGTGATGCAACTTGCATTGAAATGCTGTGCACCTGCCTATTCCTATGATAGATTGTTTCAGGTTGTGGTACTACGTGACGGCAGACATATTAACATTAATGTAAAAACAAAACAAAACCAAAGGACATGAGTTAAGAAATATAAGAAAGTATTAAGTCCCTGGGGAACATTGTATTTGGTTCTCTTTTGATCTAATGACAGGTAAAATGTTTGTCTATAACTTTTAATTAAATAATGTATGAGTGGCTGCGAAATAAAAGTTTTAGAGGCCTGCCAAGAGTGCCAGAGAGTGTAGCAGTGCTGTGCATCACTGAGTTCACCTCACTTTGCTGTAAAGGTGCTTTCTGTGGCAGGACAGCCCTTCAATGTAGTAAGCATGTACGCTACATGCAAACATATCAGAAAAAACAAGCTTGGTTATGAAACAACTGTTAGCTGCCAGAGCACTGTAAACAGTGTTGTGTTTATCTGGGGTTTTTTAATTGGGAGAATACCTAACAGCTTTTATTAAACTGAATACTTGACACATAGATTCTATTTTCTTTTTAAGCTTAAATTGTATAGCTTCAGATATCATGTGGCCCAAAAAGTTAACTTCTTCTTCTACCCTTTTATAGGTGTTGCATGTTTTCTTACAGTAAAGCTCCTGTAGCTTTATTAGCAGTAGCTTTTGTAATAAGTATATGGAAATGTAGCTGGTAGGAGTGGTCGGGCATCGGGAGCAGTATTGCTTTTTGAGGTTGTGTGCAGAATTTGGTTGCTCTAACCCTGAAAGATGATTTGATGTTAAAAGCTGCCAGACTCCCAACCACATTGCGGTTAAGTTTTTATGAAATCCAGATGATTTGGAAGCAGCGTGTGCATGCAGTTTACTTTAAAAATATATCGCTTTTTGGGGGCTTTTGCATGTGACTTCTTAGCCATCTGTGGGCCAGGACATTACTTCCTGTTTAATTTGGAGGTTTTTTGTACAAAAGGGCTCCCTTTTTGTTTTTCCTAGCAGTTTTCAGAGTTTATTAAAGCCTCTAAAGTAAATGAAAGTCAGAACAGCAGAACTGATTACATAAGAGCCTGAATATTGTATTGGTTATAGCTGGTGTTGATAAACAGTACACTCTGTCATAGCACCCAGCTCCGAGTTATCTTGATGAGTATCTTGGAAAATCCAGCAGACGAGAGCGGTGCTTGCTGTTGAGGGCTGAAAGAGAAGTGGAGAATTGTTTTTTTTCTTTCAAGGATCTGTAGTCCCGGAGATCAAAATGTGGTTTTCTGTTGTTGGAAGAACAGAATCCATGGTAAGTCTGCTCAGGTTTCTGTTGGGACTGTTTTTCTCTGAAGTTTTAAATGCTATCTCTGTACTTTTTCCTGCTCTCTTGCTTGTTTAAACCTGCCAGTAGTTATTTGTTCGTGGAGCAACAATGTAATACAGCATGCAGTTAAATACAGTCAGATGTTAGTAGCTAACTTTCTAAAATCTAGAAAGAAAAAACTAATTTTTTAGCTTGTTCTTCAGATGCACTTCTCAAATTTATGGAAGTGACTATTAATATTTAAAGTTTCAGGTGTGATTACTACTGTTTTACTGTGGGAGAGCATGAATAGCATGACCTGTGATCTGTTTACTTGTCATATTAGTTGGCTTTAATCCAGGTTCCTCTAAAAGTCTGTTTTCCCCTTATAAAGTCTTAGTAGAATAATTAAAATCGACATCCGAAACAGCATGTATAAAACTTCTAATGCTCTGTAGACCCTTCTGAAAAGACCAGAACATGAAAATCCATTGCAGTTAGGATATCTTCTGTTCAACACATTCACAGAGTGGAGACACTGAGACTCTGTTTAGATTACTGCTGCACAAAGGAAGGGATTCCCATGTTCTGCAAGGACGATAGAGCAGGTTTTGTGGATTAATCTTCACATACTGGTTATAGTCATTA